AGTTATTGCGCGCTAATCTCAGAAACGGCTTAACCGATTTGGGTGCGGTTTTCACTTATGTGTGATAAATTTCAGTTAATATTTATTATCTGGTTTAATGCAATCGGTTTATAAATAAAAAAGTTATGTCAATTAAAAGAATCACCTAGGGATGAACCCGAGCGATGCGAGGGTGAGCAGTCGCTAGTATAAGAATAATTCTTAATAAAAATACATAATAATATGTGTTTCCCATTACGTATGCGTACGCCTATTACATTGCATAGAAACTTGACTGACAATAAAGACAATCTTCTTAACTCTTACACTTCCTAAGATTTGAGATTTTTTATATTATGCACATCTATCTCATTAATTAAATAACTTATTGTATTTATTGTTTCTGTGGCAACTGACATTATTTGAAGTAAAGTTTATTTTGGATCAAGATCCGGCTGCAAGATTGCTACGTTCATAGGGTATTTAATCAAAATCAATTTTTTATATACAATAATAAAAGGGATTATATGTTTTGACCGGGGTGTCTATTAAAATGTGCTAGCTAGTATGTTTAATTAGATAAATAATAATTGACTTTTTGGAACAAAATCGATGCACTTGTCATTAAAATGAATTATACTCCACTTTACAGAAATATACGTAGAGATCTTGCTACCTACGTGCTATGTAATAAGTTAACAATTTATTTTAATTTGTATATAATAATACAAATAGGCAATTTATTATGTTCATATGTAAATACAATTAATAAATCTATGATGACAAACTATTATTTTATTTTATTTTGTCCTTATTCTTTTAATAATTATTTTTAAAACAGAAATATAAGTATATAACTTTAGCAAATGATAACTTTAAGTACACTACGGGTTAATTAAATTAATTTACAATATAATTACTAACTTGTAATAATATCTAACACTAACTAACAAATTATTTCTAACACATACGAGTACCTACGCATGAGTTATAATAAAAGTTAACACAGGGAAAAATGTACTAACCTTTTATATAAACTTATTATAAAATTAAATACAACCTGTTTGAGTGTTGGGTGATGATATTATACTAATAAAACTTAACACCGTTGAAAATAATGTGTACTCGATCTTTCCATTACTTCTCAGTACCGGCCAATTCTATGTCCATGTTAATTAGGTAATTATTTCCGTCGTTAACAATCGCTGATTTGGATATATAATCTTCAATTACTTTTATTAATATCCATATAAGCACTATCCGCTCGATAAAGGACCATGTACGGGACTTAACAGGACACGGAGGAAAAAATAAAACCGCGTACCAGGACAACTTGATGAGAAGAAGTATATTCATTTACGAATGACCCACACGGTACAACAAAAAATAATAAAAGTTAAAGTTAACTGTGAGTAGTTTTAAATACGTTGCTTTAAAAAATCATCAGGCGCTCGAACAAAGTGATAGCTGCCGTTGCGCACTTGGCTGCAACCTCTTCGCAGCCAGGTGTAAACGGGTCGTATTTTGTTACATTTATACGTTCATGGCGTATATTCATTATTTATATATCAAATTAAAGCTATTTTTTTCTGTACCTGATAAACTACGTCTGCCTATATACTACTACGTCTACAGTTGTTAAATATAATAAACTTTGTATCGTATTAGAAATGCGAAAGCAGATTGTACAGTATTGAATTTTTAAATCAAGATTCAGATAAGACAAAATCGAGAAACGTGATCAAGGGAAATCCACTTCTAATTAAAAAAAACTGGTAGTACGCCTCGAGGGGTCTCCAAATATACTTAATTAGAAATTAGATATCATTTCTAAATATCCTGTGAACAGCCGTTCGTGAATAAATCCTTGTGTGGGCTGTGATTTTAAACCCATTTACCTCAGCGGAAGTGAACTGTGAGTGTATTACATAGCAGGGAGATAATTACATGGCATATAATGTACAAATTTAAAAACCGTCATATCCATAATTTAATATTATAAATGTGTAAGTGTGTTTGTTTGTTTGATTGTTTGTTTGTTTGTCCTTCTTTCACGTCGAAACAGAGTGACGGATTGGCATGATTTTTTGTGTGAAGATAGTTGGCGGGCTGGAGAGTGACATTGGCTACTTTTTCTCGCTAGAGATCATCTCATGCCCACGAGAAATATATTCCCAAAAAATATTTAAGAATAGAATTACTTGAAACTTGGTATTAATGCACTTCAATAAAATGAAATAAATACGTGTGTTATTCGAAATTCGTCCCATATGGGGGTAAAATAGCGGATGAAAGTTTGTATGGAACCTACCTTTTTAGAGTATTTTGTAGTTTTAGCTCGGGTGAAACCGCGGTTTCTGCTAGTATTGAAGAAAGATTTCGTATTATATCGATTGACTTTAATCGAGTAGTTTTTTATTTTAGAATTATAAAATATGATCATTGGATAGTCCTTAAACGTTAAATAGTAAACATGAAAAATCAATGTACCTATTACTGACTTCTCGCTTCGCTCGGGTGCGTCTCTGGGTACGTTTTAAGTAGATATGTATAGTTATTGCGAGTGTACCTTAAGAGAAAGACTTACACTATTGTAGATTTTTCTATAGGCTTTAGTAAGACCTACAATTTTCTAGTACATTGCTTTGATGTATCTCTTAAGGTTAAGCCAGCGTTAGAACTGTTCTAAGACCGACTCGATAGAACCAGTTATTGTATTTTCCCGTGGGAATGAAACATTTCCCTGTAGTAAAAAATATCCTAAATGTTGACCCGAGTAATAAGTTATCACTACACAATATTTAGTCAAAATCGGTTAATTACTTTTTGCGTACCGCGAATACACAGCACAACAGATATACACACAAGCGGGCAAACAGACTAAAAAATTAATAACTATTGTTTTGGGGTCTATTCAGTATTCTGTACGTAATACGTTACAGTCATTATTTTTACAATATTTTATGTGAAAATTTCGCTAAGTTACTGTTTTATTATATGTATAAACGTGTAGATATAGGTATCCAATATTTATTAAATTTCCTTGATAATTGATATTGGTTGAATATCAGACAGTATGTAGATAGCTTGGATATTGGTCCGTATAATGAAATTATTCTAAAATCCAAAGATTTTCACTAAGGTTGTCTCGTAAATTTTGAATCAGGGGTATGTTTTATTAGTATTACAGTAGTTATTTTAGTATTTTAGTCTAAGCAGGTAGGTATGGTCATGTTTTGTTGTTAATGAAATTAGTTAAAAAAATAAGTGTTATAATGATATTATAACATTTAACTTAATTTTACTTTCTAAGTAACATTTTATATAGTATTTAAAAAAAATATGATATAACAAATAACAATACATATAATAGATGGCTCAGTTTATAGTGACCCCACTTGCTGTGCCGGCGGTCGCGGGTTCGAGTCCCCCAGCGGAACTCGAGCCCGCGAAAACCTACATACCTATCTGAAGAACATTCATTTGTGTGATGAGCACGAATGTTTGTACTCGTACTCGAGTCATAGGTGTTTATATTTATAATATGTATGTATTTAAAGTTATATACCTATGTATCAACTATCTGGTATCCATAACACAAGTCTCGTAGGCCGTAGCTTATCATGTAACTAGATGCTGATGTGTGTTAATCTCCAAAAAAATCCAGACGCCATGATTACTTCCCTGGTATCTTTGTTACAAACGTAACAAATGATTTGTGCATCTTAAAAATGTCTACTGTAAGAATATCACCAAATTTTCGGCAATGAACGATAATTTTTGTGATTGCAGGATTAATTTCACTGCGTTTAAAAAACAAAGTAAACCGTCCGTATAGTAATATTATAAAGTGTGTTTGTTTATTTGTTCTTCTTTCACGTCGTAACATTTTTGGTGGTTCAATCACATGATAGACGTGATTTTTTTTTGTGTGGAGAGTTGAAAGGCTGAAGAATGACATAGAGTAGGCCGTAAAGTTTCCCGGGGAGAAGCCCGTAAAGTTTACTATACTACATACATATACATTATACATACATATATATATATATGCATCGTTTAGCAAATTTTCAATCTTAAAAGTTGAAGAAGTGACAGTGATGAACGATGATTACCTATAAAATCAAAAAATATGTTTATATTTTTACGCGTAAGTTGTATTTAAATCATTATATCATAAATTATAATATTTAATGCTTATTAAAATCATACAAAAGGTAGATCTGGAGCAGGTTCCGACCACACCGGAAATCGCATATTCCGCCTGTGCGCAAGGTCGTTGTTTTAGACAATGTTTTATGTTCCTCTTGGTTTGTTGGAGTCCTCGCTGTTTCTTAGAGCCCCTGCCGTTTATTTAATAAGCCCCGCTTTGAGTTTTTATACTAGATTACGATTAGGAAAGGAGGAAGAGAGGAGGGATAATGAAAATAAGTTATATCTATCGTTAGTTCATAAGAAATTGACGATGAATTTACAAAAACGCGATCATTAATAAATATAAACAATATCTCACTATTTCTTTGAATTTAATTTTATCTGCCTTTAAAAAGTGCTCCTACAATTATTCCCTGAGCAATACATCATGAAAGAGGATTTGTAATTTTTAATGAAAGTCATTTATAAAAATGTATATTTTATGAATAAATCCTAATTATACCTTTTTTTACATTCCTATACTGAAAACATATTACTAAATATAAATATTATGATTTCATATTTAAATATCGCCATCTATTATTTCTTCATGTAAACGCTATATCTACCGGACCGGCATGAACAGCTGTTTCTCGTATCGATTTTCCCCATACCCGCAAGCAAGTTCACTGCATACAACCTGCACTCATGTATTTGTCAATAGCTCTGTAAATTTTACAGTCATTTAATTTACAGTGACCTTTAAAAATCCGTTTCCGTGCTTACAAAATTAGTTACAAATGACATCATGTAGGAGATCATGTTTCTAGGTTATGTTTTTATTGTGCGCAATTTGAACTGTCACATAGTGTAGTGATAAGAATAAAAACATGGAGCACTCGTTGACAAGTGGGCTTCACCGGCGGCACTTTATAAGCACTCATGTTGATGACATTCCTATGGACACAATACGTTTAGTGTCTCCAATTAACAGGTTCGCCATTTTACAAGGAAATTTCAGTAATGATGAAAATGATTATCCTTCAAAGTAAGTAAAATGTGGCCGAAACTTTTGTAAAGTTTAAATTTGTTTGTGCGGAAAATCTGATGATCATTAGTATAATATACTTAAACTATAAAATTGACCTAAAACAAATCAGACTCAGTGCAAAAGTATGCTGTATGAGTAATTTTCCAAAATTTATTTATATACTTAATTGGTAGGTACGTAATAGGAACCCTGTCATTGCGTGACCTAATTCACGAAGTACGAATTTTTCAGGTCGTATATTTCATCGTATAGACGGACCCTAAAAAAAAATAGTTAAAAAATACCATTTTTTTTAATAATTTTTGAACTTTATACTGATCTTAATTTACATATATTCTTATGCATTTAAAAAGAAATATAACTACTAATTAAATAAAACTGACGTAGTTTCATATAGCGGATAAGTATTGCACAGTTTATCATACACTTTTGTCACTCTCGTAACTCGTAATCCCTTTTTTTTTAACGTTGGGAAATGCATTTACGCACGACGTGTGGGACTCACCGGCGTAATACAGCCAGTACTACCCACTGAAACCCAACAAAACCTTCCCCCGTCTTAATGGGGCGTCGCAGGATCGCTTACGCATTCAACTACGACGCCCCGACGGCAGGTCTGCCAAAGCAGACCACCACAACCATGGGGTTGCTCCAAGGTCCACTCTGCTATCAGAGAAGTACCAGGAGCAACCCGCAAGGTACACCGCCCCCCGAAGAGGGAAGAGGGCCACCTCCCACCGCCCACCGAAGTGGGCAACCTCCCTGTGCGTTTCTTAGCTTCGCTACTACCACAGAAATCTTAATAATATTACCTTATTATTAAGATTTCTGTGGCTACTACTACTGAGCCCCCCCACGACGACAAGGTGAACGCACGTTGGGGGGGGGGGGGGGGGGTCGTAACTCGTAATCCTACATTTTAAAATTTCTATACTAGATATAAATAAATAATTAGAATAGTTAAGACATGACAAGAATTTAAATAGGCTTATATATGACATAAATTAGTGTCCATAAAATACGACACGACAGAAGTTACATAAAATATGATGAATAATTAATGAGTAATGTCCATTTAATGCGTTTAAGTGTAGTGTAGGTTCATGATGATGCTATTGCATTTAAAACAGAATGAATAAAAATTACAGTCACGCAAGAAATGTCTATCAGGAATTTTCATTACCAACAAATGAAAATTCTAGATTTTCCGTTTAGAGAATGTTATTAGCTACTCAACAACAGATGGCGACACATGAAAAAATATTGTGCGATTATTTTTCCTAATATGTATATATTTTGTTTGTTACAGACCGTACAAATTAAAAACAAAGCTACTAATAACAGGGCTAGTCATCTTGGTCCTTGTATCAGCATTAAGTGGGTACTTAATTGGCAGTGCTGATTACAACTCTTGGAAATTAACCGAACCATTAGATCCTGTTGATCCGCTCCCACCTTCACCGTCATGGCTTCACGTCTTCCAAAAGGCAGCTGTGTGCACCGATGCCCAACATTGCTCAGAAATCGGCAGGTACGTTTGTTCTCATTTACTAAGCTGCTCAAAGACGTAAAGGGACGGTACTTATAAAGTCTCTAAATTCTTAACAGGACGTTTTATATTTTCAATATTAAAAATCCTTTCACTTCTATGGATGGAATAATTACATGTTTGAAGTGATATTAAACGTATTGTACCTTAACCTTTTTAGCTATTAATGTCTTAATGGACAATGGTTTGTATTTGTAAGTACAAAATATATGAAGTAATATTGTTATTAGTTTGTAGTCTATATAAGTATTGACCACTCGCTAATAGATGGCGCAGCGAGCTAATAAATATTTGATGCTGGTTAAACAAATATTATTCGATTGTAACTTGCACATATATATATTGTAAAGGTCGTTAATAAAATAAATCTGTAAGTTACGGGCGACTAAAGAAAAAAATACAAGTACATAATTGCTACTATTATATAAAAAATATAGGAGCCGAGCTGCCGATGCAAAAACATTAACGTGTCGTTTTATAGAACTCATTACTCAAAATAACTAACAATTTTTGCTTTTTAAAACACAAAATTATTAGAATACCTATGTGAAAGGAAAGTTTTAAAACTGCTTATTATAGATATCTCCAACTATCGAAAATTACATTTTAAAAAAATATGTTAATGTGTATTTTTTCGCCATTATCATAAAATACATTTAAATTTTTTCCTTTGTTCTTGTTTCACTTTTAGGACGCTTAGATAAATTTTATTTTTTCCTTTTTTGTGCTTTGTTTTGTTTGGTCGCAAAAACGTGTGTATTTTTATTACATACTAGCGACTTGCCTTCGCTTCATTCGGGCACATCCCTAGGGTATGTTTTAAATATTAATAAAATATTTATTGCGAGTGCACCTTAGGAGACAGACTCATTTCCGTGAGAATATGTAAAATTTGGTACTCCTGTAGTAAAAGGTATCATGTTGAACCGTGTAGGTAATAAGTTATCACTACTTTTTGTGTGAAATGCACACAGATATACAGACAAAAAAAATAATGATTGTTTCGGGTCTATTCTGAACACAATATGTTACAGACAATTACAGTAATTGATATAAAAAATATTTCATGTGCAGATTTTGCTTTGTTACTATTTTATTATGTATAGATACCCACTTTCTAACAAGGCAGATAAAAGTTTTTAAGTCAAATGATAAGAATAAATTAGAAACCGAAACGATATAAGTAAATACAATGTATCTATTACAATAAGTATGTAGGATTATTCGGAATGCTGTGCAATGGGCATAGTCGGAACTTGGAAAACACAAAGCCCCTTCACAAGTACGATAATACTCTAAAGATTTATTATTAGTGTTAACGGTAAAAAATTATAGCCGTTATTGGGCTTATGTTAACTTTATAAAATGATTACATAACATGATACGTATATAATGTATTATGTATTACAAAAATTGCTTGTCGCACAAAAACTACTTGAAGAGCATTAACGAACTTATTGCTGACTTTATAAGGCTATTGACATTTGCCATAAAAAGAAATATTTAACAACGGTACCAAAAGAAAATTTAAATCCTAAAGTTATATAAAATACTTATTCAATTCATTTTAATAATTCTTACATACCAAGATAGATACTTTAATACATTAAAACTTTAGTATTTATTTGTTCGAAGTTAGAGCTCATCCTATTGTAAGAAAAAATTTCATAATACTATGAATCATTAAAATTAATCTAGCTTTATCAACGAGTATTATTATTTATATATTGTTTTCTCAATACACAGATTTATATGTACACTTTCATTTGTCATCCATGATGTACACCACGATAACATTTACGTGCATTTCACACATATAAAATAATGTGTTTATAATGTTGCCATACTTATGAATATTACACTATTCCCCAATTGAATTAAAAAAAAAACTAAATTAAAATATATTGATATTTACATTTAAATTTATATTATTATTTAATATAATAAATATGGAAGTTTGGGACTCTATCACGGGTAAACTCTTGATTGAAAGAAACTTCGCATACATATGCCGTATATAATACAATATAAATGTTTATCCCGGTAAATTTGCGTACTTAAGTTTCATTTTTATTTTGTTTTAACAATATTAATATATACATTTCTAAGCTTACGAATGATGGATGATGGATGATGGATGGTGTTTTACTCCGATGAAGCTATAGGGAGAAAATCAAAATTAAAAAATTGAAAGTACTTTAAAATAGCGTATACTTAACACATTTTTGCTTTTTGTACAAAAATTAAAAACCAAATATTGAATCCACTGTATAAATATATATACAATAGTTTTTGCCAACTATTCAAATTTAAATTCAAACAGCATTTTATTTTTTTTAAGTTTTGAAAACATATTTTTTGAGTTTCTTGCACAACTTGAAATTGTATTTTATTCTGAATATAAATTATAAACATTAATATTAATTATTAAGTCTTTGCAAATTAAGATCTTCAATGATTTTTTCAAAATGATCAAAGGACACCACAGAAATTAATGATAAGTGAAGCGGATTCAAATCCGGGTCTCGCATCTCCGATATTTTCATGTGCGAATCAGTTCCAATATGGTTACCATTTGTGTTACGGTGAAAGAAAACATCGTGAGGAAACCTGCATGTCTGAGAGAACCCAGTAAGTTTTCAAAAGACATGTGCAGTCCGCCAACCCGAACTTGGCCAGCGTACTGGTGGACTATGACCTGCTCCACTTCGCATTGAAGGGAAGCCCGTGCCCAGCAGTGGGACGTTAAAAAGGGCTGAATACATAATTGGTTTATGACAGATTTTATGGCTCCAGATCCAGCGATGATAAAAACAGTATTTTCAATCCTTTTTTTAATAGAACAGTAAAAACTGAAAAGTATTTTAGCGTGAAATAAAGTACCTATAATACTGTTATTAACGGTATGGTTGGAAACGCTAATCTATAATAATCGTTTAAAAATACGTTTGTAAAGTAAAATAGATTAGAAGTTTTTCATAAGATATGTGAAGGTGAAAACAGAGCTCTATTTGTATTACGAATTACGATTTTGTTATGGTATCACAAAGCCGTCTTACCCACACACGCATTAGTTTATAATTAAACAACATCCTTCATAACCGGGTCGGAGTAGTACCTTCAACCAATCACGTTTCGAGAATTTTATCGACGCGCATGCGGTCAGTGACGTGTCGGCATCAGACTATATAAGCCGCTCGCGAACCGCCCCGCTAAACATTTGTGAAACAAAATCTACAAGTGACACAGTCACCGCGATACAAATAAGTGTTATTCTTTGTGAATTTTAACTAATCAGAAATATGTCTGAAGCTTTCTTTGATGAGTACGATTACTACAATTTCGACCACGACAAGCACATTTTCTCCAGCCACAGCGGAAAACAGCGCACCAAAAAAGAAGTAAACGAGCACACTAACCACTTCGACCCGTCCGGACATTCGAGAAAGATCGTTACCAAGCTCGTCAACACAGAGAACAATAAGAAAACTGTTAATAAGCATTAATTTTATGTGTTTATAAATAAAAGACGACTATGGCATGTAAACGGAATGTTGATTATTTGCCGACGGAACGGAGAACGTTATGGCGGATACCCGAAGAAAGCACGGGTCTCTCGTCGCTGAGATCAGTGGAACAGCCTAGAAGGTTTTTGCTGACGCAGAGTTTTTACTGTGCACACCACAACGCTAGAGTACGGTGGCGGAGCCGACGCGCTTCGTGACCCCACCAGGATATATATGCCTGTGGATATCTATTTTGAACAACACCGTTCCAATGACTGATCTCACCTCTACTGGGCTTGTTATAGAGCTCAATGTCTCTGTGTTATTAATTTCTAAGTAGATATTACGTTGTTGTATCTTCTCATGGTATGTTAATGACTGTAATTATTTAAGACAAATAAAGTTAATTTAATAAATCTGTATTTTATTGTTTGTTTACGCACCGGAATGATTACGAGGTGAGCTGGCCTATATGTGTGTGTCGGTTGATTATAATATTGTTTATACACAAAAACAACCTTGAAGCGAGGCGAACAGCGACCGAGTCACTAACGACCTTGTACAATTTTATCAATACGATATTCTAGTTTTTTTTGCGTTTCAGACTTATAGTCGACTAGGTATAAAAACAAATAAACCGTTTCCTTAGAGCTCAATAAAATAATATTATTGTGAAATTAAGAATATTTTAATGAAACTTGCTTATTTTTATAATTAGTAATTGCCTAATTAACTCTTAAAAATTTCATTTAAATGTTAGAATCTTTTTAAAAGAGAACGGTAGCGGGATCAATTATTGCTGGGTAGCTACTTTACATAATCACAAAGAACTTATATGAAAGTAAGTAATTGTTACATATTAAGTACTTAGTTACAACTTACCTAAATGATAGTAGCAATGATTAATTAGGTATATATGACACCTACCGTTAAAAAATAAGGTAGGTACGGTAAATCTTTTTACAAAATACCTACTTTTTAAATAGAAATATTTATAACACTTTATTATTAAAGAGTTTAATTAAGTAAAAAAAGACTACTGACAAAAGTTACTAATATTTATACTATTTTTAAAATCTTTTACTTTGCCAAACTGTTTATAAATTCAATTACAGTTTCTAACATATCGCAAGTGACGTTGAAACAAATAACCTATTGCTCATAACAAATAACAAATCACTATTCTTTATAAAAAAGATGCACCGACTCCGAAATGGCTTAAAAATAATTATTCCACACTAAGGATTTGATTTCTATTTTAAAATATGGGTAGTCTCGTGGTACAACCTATTCTTTTAAAAACAAATAATTAAAATCGATTCATATTACGAAGATATCGTTTACAAAAATACAGACGAATAGTATAGGTACATTTTGAATTTGATCAAAAATACGCTAATATCATCATTGATGAGTCATCAACCATCGGCAAGAAAATAAAAAATTGCCACTGTCAATGCTAAGGAAATTATAGGCTTTGATTTATTGACTATTAAAATGTAAAATCGATTCATGTCAATCCAAAATATCTTAAAAATGTCAGTCTCCTCCTTATAAAGTGGGTGAATTTTGGGAAATTGTCCACATTGCCAATGATATTAAGCTATTGCATAGCTTCTATCGCGGGCCTTGAGCGTGGGGACCGAATCCAGAAATTCCGTAACGAAAAAAACCTGACACCCCCCACTCCGACCGGCCCATGGGTGATACTTTTTTTTTCCATCTATCGATAAATACCAGAACTTTTAATGACTTTTTGAAATATCACGCTTGTCTCTTTAGTTCAGCAACCCGCCTTTAGGTGGCATTGGTTGTGTTGGAAAACTACCGTAATCAGCTGTTTGTGAGAAAGTATATAGGTGTATAGGTATTTATCATCTATGTACAACAGTGAATATCGGTACTCGTATAATTTGTGTACAAAGTGTTTTAAATATGAATAAACAAAGTGCATTTATTAATGAAGAAAGTCAAGGAAAAAAAATACTGCATTAATAAAATAAATAAATAATTATAATTGCATAAGTTGATAAAAAATGCTATGCAATAGCTTTACCGCGGCAGTCTCCGAGTGCCACATTTAATTTTTTTTTAATATTTGTACGCTAATCATATTGAAAACAACTAATTAATACTTAGTTTTGACTTTAGATTTATTTTGACATGTATTACAAAAGAAAACCCTTAGTTGCTTGCAGCTCTTTAGGCTGCTTGTCTAATGTCTTATAATCAAGTGCTATGTATATCTAAAGGTTTAAACTATAACTAGTCCGATAGTCAAAAGTCACGGTATATGAACGGGTTATTAAAGTCAAAAGATAAGAGAAACACGGTTATCAAGTTTGTTTTAAGACATTGAAAGTACGTCAATGCTATGTTTAACATAAATAAACAAAGGAATGTTTTATAATAATTATAATTAACATGATTTTCACAAAATAGTTAAGTTTTATCACCGCGGAGTAGGAAGAAAAATCTCACACTCTTTACTACTAGACCACAGATTCGATTTCCATGTAACGCAAGTGTCTATATTGAAAGGAAAATATATTTTATACACTCTGCAAAGAAAACATTGAGTCATGCATGATATTATGGTTGTTTTTTTTAATTAAGAATATTAAAAAAATGTATTGTCAATATTTTTACTAGTTTTAAATCATTGTTGAACATTGTATTAATTTAATTAAATCATACCCAAATATCGGTAAAATATATTTCAAACGGGAAGATTATGTCGAAAGACATATTTTGGCCCTTTTTTTTCTAGCAGAAGGAGTCGATTCCTCCAAGATAAGAGTAAGCTTTTGGAAATGTGAACACTGAACAGGTTCGGGGTGGCAACCAAAAACGGCCTAGCACGGCAAATTGTAGGGATGGCGAAATTGAAATAGCCAAAAAATAAAAATAACAAATGTACAATTTGGAACATTTGAGCTTTAATTAATAAAGACATATACCCAAATAAAATTCTTGGGAAATTTCAACCAATTTGTAGGATTTCAAATAAAACTCTCTTTTCGAATTTTTTTATCTTTGATTCCTACTTTTTTTTTACGAATTTTTAATCTCTCCTTAGATTCGTCCCTAGACAAAAACAAATCTATCCAACGAAAACCGTAGATTTTCTGGGATAAAAAGTAACCTATGTGCTAATACAGACTAATAATTTATTCGGTGCCAAATTTCATCCAGATCCGTGAAGTAACAAACATCCATCCGCACACTCTCACATTTATAATATAAGTATGGAATATGGATATTGGATAAAGAGTAAGGAAGGAAAAAAATTTATCAATCTATACTTAGGAAATGTGTAAATCTTCCACTGATAAGTCTACTGTCTATAACCAATCAACAACCATGTGCATATTATGTAATATGCAAAGATATTTACTACGTCTCACACGACTAGAAACGTGAACGTGTCACATGTCACTAGAATCACCTTGTAGCTTTAAAAATAAATCTGTTTATTTTGTTATTCAAGACTTGTTATGACATTACTACAATATAGGTACCTAATAAGACAAAAAACTATAATTAACAATTTAATATAATATTACAATAAAACCACTTTCATGATCTTCGGTATAATTTAATGGGTGTAAAAAATGTATTAATATTCTTATCTTGCCTGAAAATAAAAACAATTGTACCCACCTATCTGTATTACTTATTTAATATTTGTATTAAAAAATTTTGTTGACTGTTAAATGAAATGAAAACGAATGCATATTGCATAAAAGGCACTTAAAGGAAGGACCCACAGAAATCTTAATAATAAGCTAATTAAGATTTCTGTGGAAGGACCTTATCTTATAGGAACTCATCAGATTATCTCATTGGTTTTTTTATAGTTTTTTGGTGTAACATGAATTATTAAATATAATTATTAAATATTATAATTAATCATAATGAAAATACATATAAAAGAAAAACACGGTACATACATCTAAATTGGTATTTAGATATACATAAACCTATGATATAATGATCCTAACGTAAATAAATGAATACAAGCATACCTTTAACAAAAAAATATATAAGTAAGTATATGTAGAAAATTTAACTTTACCTTTAACATTTGTTCTAGACATATGTTATCTATAAATGGGTCAGCTGTGGATGCGGCGATTGCAGCTATGTTCTGCAATGGTCTTCTAAACCAGCAAAGTATGGGTTTGGGAGGTGGTTTCTTCATGACTGTATATATCAAGGAGGAAGAAAAAGCATATACAGTAATAGCTAGAGAGAAGGCTCCTGCGGCAGCCACTGAGGATATGTTTCATGGCAGCTACGACAAGGCAAGCAAAGGTAATATAACTTACAAAAGATATAAAAAAATAAAATATAATATTATTTGGTTGATTCGAGTAAACATGATAGATATGAAATGCTTAAAAATAAAATGTAGATAAATATTTTCTTCTGATTAGCACAGATAGACTTCAAATGCGTGGATAAACTAAGTTGTTTACGAACGAAATATATTTATATGTTAGGATTTTATACGTTTTTAGGTAAATATGTATTTTAGCAGTATTTAACGATTACGAAACTACTGCTTACTTAATCTTCGGTCAAGGTTTTGTAAACAAAGGATAAGGACATAATAAGGATATTGATTTTTTGAATCTTGGATCAATAATATCCATTGTTATTGCATATCTTGGTCCCTTGTAGGTATACGGATTCAACATGTCATAGATTCAATTCTTACAATGAGTGTATTGTTCCTAAATCTGATACACGACTAGTCGTTTAGCTGCCAACGTATTAAATGAATGCGGATATTATAAAATAGCGTATAAAAACGATCAAGGCTACTACTATTATATATTAAAGTGTTATTTATTTATTAATAATATTATCTAATATTTGATTGATTGATTTGATTAAATTGCCTTGTCTATTATTATATTATCCATGAACGAATTAACCACGTCCATGATATTATCTTATTGTTATTATTAAATTAAAGGGTAAATAAATACATTAATAATAAAGTTTCCTTGAAAATTAAATATTGGAAAAACATGCTATATTTACTAATTTTATTGTTTACCCAACAAGTGTATAATGCAGTCCCTATTAACTCGGGAACTAAACGGTAGGTAACCGATGCTGTTGAAAATTTTCACAGAATGTATAATCACGACCACAGAAATCTTATTAGCTTATTATTAAGATTTCTGTGATCACGACGAATTGTCATCAAATAATTTAAGAACAAAAGCCAGGACGAATTTACATACAAGATAATTTTTTGTAAAAGTTATTTTTGCTCTATCGGAAAAATGGAACTAGACAGTAGACACATAAAACTAACAAACTTAGTGTGATCCATAATGTACCTACAGTCCTGAAAAAAATAACATTAATATAAACTGACCTCAATTGTGCTTTCAACTATACAATAAAATAACAAAAATAATACATATTATTTTGGTATGGTAACATTATATTGTCTGACGGTACAGAACCCTTGTTATGTGGGTCCGTTTTTTTGTTTTTTTACTTTTGATCCAACTCTTCCTAACGCAGAAATGACATATATATTTAGTATACGGTAATTAAACTACATTTGGAACATTCTTATTATGTATAATATATGTTACAGTTAAATAGGTAATGATTCTTTAAGTATTTAGGACATACAGTCCGCATCACATAAATAACAGGAATTATTAGTCGTATAGTGTGTTGCCAGTTTTTTAATTAACTTTTTTCAGACCGGAATATCTGAAAAAATAGCTTCATCATTTATTGATATTAAAAGAGTTTTCTCGTTATCTTATCGCAACATACTTTATACATTATTCTAGGAAGTTATCTAACCTTATTTTTTCATTGGTTATAGCAGATATCGCGAATTTTGATTACACAATTGTTTCATTTATTCGAAAATACGAGTAAAGAATATGACTCATACTTTATAATGAAAATCGATATATATATATATATATATATAATATATATATATATATATATATACCGCGTATTCATATACCTATTGGTTATAACCAAGAGTCAATAAATATAAGAAATTAATATTTTATTTTAGTGTTATTTAAGCAAAAGTATTATAATTTAATTTTCTATTTCTTAATTCTATAATTTTTAGTGTATATTATTATTGAAAAAAAAATCAAATAAAAAATGCAAATATGTAGCTGCTGTATGTCATCATGAATCATGATTATCAGTGGATTATATCCATATTGTTATAAAACAATTGTTTCAATATGCCTACGAGTACACGTTGTTTTAATAACAAAACATTGTGAAATATGCTTTCGTTGTAATTTCAGTGCGATGCCCGCAATTTAGGTTGAACAATTACACCAAGAGTACATTAGAGAAGCTACTAGAATTTTCAATACACAGTGTATAGGTAATTTTATTGTTATGTTATCAGTTATCTATACATAATATACCATATTTATTTAATTTACTTTTGTTTATTTTGTTAGTCATTCAATCACTTCATAAAAGGAAGAGGTTTCTAATTGATCATAGTTTTCAGTTAGGGCTAGGCAAGCCAAAAAATAACCATTACGCTAGTGTAACCAAAACCAAAAATGGTCCGTATTAAATCCATTTCATGCTGGTTACGTGTCACGAATTAAGAATCACGCTGCTTAACAAAATTATTGGCAAAACGTTTATACGTAGAAGACAGTCATTACTTGATCGTGGTGCTCTAGAAGTTCTCGACGTCTACGAAACCACATATGATATTATACATAATAATTAAATCATTTTCATTAGTCTCTAGACCTAGAACACCAAAAAATTTATCTTGAGTTTAATTTTTAAGCTCTTAATCGTTAAGCTAAGCTTTTTTAAGCTCAGCATGTTTTTTTTTCATTTTTTGGGATTGATATTTTTAAAGCCATATTTTGTGGAACTTTCTAATCATATTTTTTAATATAGATTTTTAAGATTTACACAAGTTTCTTATTGTAGGTAACTTTAAAGTACACACGTAATGAAAATATTTAAAAAAAAACTTCTAAGTCTTCACAAATATAAATTTGTAAATTAATACAAAATTTTATATAAGTACTTAATTTTAAATTGAATTATAAAAGCAACTAGAAGGTAAAGGTCCAAAGGATAATAATTCAATTTTGTACATTTATTAGAAGTCGGGCGGCTAAATATTTTCCTTTTACTCACACACCTACAATAATTATTTAACCGAATTATTCTGGAATAAAACAGGCTGTATAAATATTTGTATAAATATATTGAAGTTTAGTAAAATTAATAAAACTTTTGTTACCTAGGTACTTGATTTTTTAAGCTCATTCGTTTCTTTAACAATGTACCTATATTTTGAACAATGTATAATTTTAGATTATTATTTGGTGTATATAGAAAGTTTTTCTGGTTAAAATGGGCCTTTCAAGTTCATATAAAATTAATCCAAATATTTTTACTGTTTTTTTCAATTTATTTACTTAGTCGCCATTATATCAATAATGCATAGCAATTACAAAGCAATAAGAGCACCTTCATGTTAAAGAAAGACGGTAATGTACTAAATTAATGTAATAAGTAAAAGTACATTACAAGAAGTTATAATAAAAAGCTTACTGGACATTATTTCCAATAAAACATGTATGTCTTAAACCAGCTTAAAAGCTCCGTTGTGGATATAAATTCGCAATACTTTCATACATTTCTCCTAAGCTTTCACTTATTCTGGTTCAGTAGTAACGTACGTTATAAAGTTTCTCTAATGCAATGATAGTAGATAAAAAATAAAAATATTGCTCATGAACAGATTTAAAAAATAAATATTATAAATGTAATGGTATACCTATATTTATAGGTAGTTTCCATTAGGTATATGAAATATCTATATTATAAATGTGAAAGTTTGTGAGTATCTATTATATATTCGTTACTCTTTTACGCCAAAACGGCTGAACGGATCTGGATGAAACTTTTTGTACTGGAAAAATGCACGGTTCCCGTGGGATAGGTTTGTTTTTGGTTTCGTAGAGGTGAACCCGAGCGACGCGAGGGTGAGCCGCTAGTATTATATAAATAAAACGAAAAGGTGAATCATTGTTCTCTCTTACCTTGCAAGATCAGAGCGTCAACATAGAAATTGAGAATGAAATTCGAAAGTGGATCATGATGTATTTATCATTCTATCATGCAACAAAAGAGCAACAGATTATTGTGGTTTTACAGGTGAACCTTTTGTGACCTCTATCCCCGCTATAAAGAAGTTCCCGTGGAATAGTAATTTCTGACTAAAAGATGCTTATTATACTTATTTATTTGTTTGTAATATTTTATAGTAAAAATATTTAAGATAATGCACTACTTTTGTACCTAGTACCTACTAATTATTTTTTGTTTAGGTCCTTTAGCCGTTGGTGTTCCTGGTGAGCTCCGCGGAATGTGGACTGCTCATAAAAGATGGGGAAAGCTACCTTGGGATGTGCTAGTCAAACCTACGTTGGAGTTTTGCAAATATGGGTATCCTATGTCAAAAGCTCTAAGCGATGGAGTGGAGAGTGCATCATTCATCAAGAATGACCCACATTTACGGTAAGCTTACTAGTGTTTCAAAAATATAAAATTTATAAAAACGAGAGTCAAAAAGGGGAGTACCCAAAAGCCTTGGATGGCAGCTATTTTCCCACAAAAGGCAGTTTTTAGTTTGAGTAACCTTAACCTTTACCAGATGCATTTTCAATTACCTGCTGCTGTCTGGGAACGCATCACGAGAAAACCAATGAATAGATTTTGATGAAATTTGGTATAATGATAGCTGGTTATCCGGTTCAACATATAGTATTTTAACATAGGACTTTTTACTGCGGGAAAATAAATATCTCATCTCTGATAAATCTATACTAAACGTTAAAACGTAACTCAGGACAAACCCGAGCGGAGCGAAGATGGGTCGCTAGTACCTATATTATAATAGACAGACAGACACACAGACAGGACAGGCTATAAACTCTAAAAACTATATATTCGGCCTGTGTACTGTGTGTGAGTGTGTGATAATAATGACTATTTCAATAAGATTTTCCAAAAAATATTTAATGTACAGATTCGATTAAGTTAGAACTTTATTATATGTAGGTATAGATATTCCTATCGTGTGTAGGTATAATTAGTATTTTCGTATTTCAACTAAACATAGAACAGGAATTTATTACTTATTTACATTTCAAAACTGAACGTGTCGATAAGTAACTATTGTATGCTTCATATCTAATCATTAATCATTATTTGATATAAAACTGATATTTTTATTACATAAAACATTTAGATGTTTCTCGTTTTAACTAAATTCGTTTCTTAGAAATATAACATATACAAGTTTACAAAAGAAATGAGACAAAGAGTCGTCACGAAATAAGCAAAGAGGAAAACCTTGCAATCTTCCTTGATTTAATGTGACTAAAAAATTAATAAACTTGTCATAGAACTATTCGTACATGTTCTGCTTTATAATATATGGTAATACCTCTGAATCGACTGACTGACTGACTCATCACAAAATATCAGGAACCGGATATAAGTATGATTTTTGACTAATTAACATTATAAATAAAACTGACTTTTCGGATTTTTTCGCGAATTTATTTTGATTTTTTGGTTCCCGACGTTTCGAATGCTTTACAGCAATCATGGTCACGGGAGAGACGGTCTCTCGAAAAAAAATCTCGCGAAAAAATCCGAAAAGATATAGTTTTATTTAAAATGTCAAATATTCGCGTAAATCTCAGAAAGTATTACGAAATTTCATTGCACAAAAGAATGAGTAAAAATAGGGTAGAAAAAATACTATGTTTTTTAAACTGAAACATTCAAATCGTATAGTAATATCGTATCGTAATAGTGAAATCATCATCATCGTAATAGTGAAATCATCATCATCATCCATCTCTAAACTATTTATATGAGAAATCGTAAAAAAATAATTATACTTTATATTCGCAGTAATCACTGAATTTCAGTCAGCGTCACAAAAGTCTCCTCAAAAAAAAGAATTGTGAGTTCTCAATGTTTTGACGTGCGTCAGAATGGTGCTTCCACGCAGTAAAAAACATTAAAAAAGTTAGATAACATTATATAACATTTTTTAACGAGAACACTTTTTTTAAATTCAATTTCATGTTCACTGACATGTTAACTATTGTTAGATGTTTTCAAAGTTTCCACACTGATAAAAATGTTGTAGAACATTTCCTAACATTCTATAAACATTCTGCAAACCCCGCTGTTTAATGTTTTCTGAAAGAAGTTACAAATTGTTATATTTTGCTTCAAAATATCTTGTTAGAAAATGTTAGAAAACATTGAATAAAAAGAAAATATTTAATAAATTTTACACAACAATTAGAATATACGATTTTTGGGTATCATTCTTTGGTTTTACTTAACGTCACATGTCGATGTTACTTTTAAAAGAGATATTTGATACGAACTGCCTCTTTGGTTTCATATATCAATGCTGAATCATTATTGATATTAACCTAAACTATAGATATAATATTAATACACCCGTCTACGATCGTTCGAACAACAATTGCATAATATTATGATTACAATTACGATATTCATTTACATTCAAAATTGTCTGCCAGTAAAATATGAAGCAATCATTGTGATTTTGATAGCTACTTTTTATATAACTTGTAACTCATGCTAAGTCAGATAGTCTAAGCAATAAAGACTAAATGAAGTTTTCATTACATATTATGGTCAGTTTTTTGTTTTTGTTTTGATAGTTTCGTGTATTTTAGGCGATTTTAGGATCTTGTGGAAGCTCCACTCGTGTTGACATACTAGAAAAATGGTACATAGGTACCAACCAGTTTTTTTTTCAGAATATACAGTATCCAGTGCACCTAGGTCAAAGAAGCTGTTCAATAATTTATAATTAATCTACATTCCCTGTATCTTTTGGTAGAAAACAATTTTCATAAAACATATACATGTACATATGTACATATATATGTATATGCCATTTCTTAATTCAGCTGTAGTTCACAAAGTATATAAATATGTTTTTCCTATACAAGAATTACTTGAAACTATTTAACTTAAGATTGTACTTAATACGTGAAATTCAAAACAAAGTAAGAAATTTTTTAAAGCCTTTTTAATACTTGACAAACTTTAATACCTTGTAGAAGCCATTTAAATGGTAATAGGATTGCGTCGAGCAAAAATAAAACACGTGCTTCTTAACACACTATTATAGAAATAGTAAATAACTTCTTTAAAAAGAATTATTCCTTACAAATAAACCTGAGATTGAAGTAAAGTATAATTGGAACAAACATTGAAGATAATTCTTACTACAATACATGGATATTACCAGTAGTAGAAAATATTCCAGAAATACGTATATTTTTAATTAATTAGAATGGGTAAGCTTTTTCCGGATATTCGTTTATTTTTAGCCCGTACATAAAACACGTCTTTCATATTATTTTAAAATGATACTCATTGGTATTATGAAAACGAAATTATTTATAGTGATTGTAAAAAGAGCAAAAACAATACTTAATCAATATTTATTTGATTCTTATTGTACCTAACGTTATGATAATATTATAATTGATCTGACATTTTTTATTTTGATAAGCAACTATAATTGATACTATGAACAAATATATTATTATTATTATTTAAAAGATTAATTTAAATAACTTTTACCTATTTTCTATATTTACAGAAAACAATATTACAACAGTGCAAAAAATAAATTTCACAAGCCGGGTACAATAGTCAAGCCCAGCGAAGCTTTATGCAACACGCTAAGAATAATAGCTGAAAAGGGCGGTGACGTTCTCTACAACGGTACACTCGCCGTCGACTTTTTGGAAGACCTCAATAGAGTTGGCAGCATTATCACTGCCGAAGATCTGAAAAATTACGAGTAAGTATTATAATAGACAAGTTTAAGGCATTTTAAGATGAATTTAAAAAAACATACACAAGTACAGACGAATATAAAACCTCATTCTTTTTGGAAGTCGGTTAAAAAGTATTAAAGAACTTAGGTCTTACATACTCCTATTATAACTGACAATCAATTTATTTGTAATAAGCAATCTTTAAGATTTATATATTTTAGCTGTGATTAATTGAGTAGAAGATAATATGTTTTGATAAAAATGAAAAACAAAAACATCGTAGATACAAAATTGATAACAAAGTATCAATAATAAGAAGACTTGATCCCACCAAAAACATAAATGTTAAGAAAAGGTCAAGTTCGGTACACGAGATCTTTAAATGTAAATAAATAAGATTAATCGTTTTATAATAATTTTAGACTTATTTAAAATATACCTTCAGTATTTTTCAACTTGAATTCCAAATTGCATTCGAAGTATTAAGCTATTCATATTCAGGTTTTTGATCAGAGAAGCATTTTTCAGTTTTAAGAAAAATTTAGAAGGCAAAAATACTATAATGTAACTTTAATAATTGTTATATACATAGTTACTGCACTAGTAACTCGCCCTTATATTTTCGAAACTTGGCTCATTCACCGCTGTGTGTCTAGACTGATTACGTTTTGTAAACAACGACTGCTTATCATTATTTCAAAACATTGTTATCTAATAACATATCTATATAAATACATACGTATATATTATAGTATTAATAAAACAATGTAACATGGGTATAATTATAATCTTATATACCTACCGATACAGTGTACATTACAAATTAGTTTTTTTACTTATATTACGTTGATATCACCACCACCGGTGGTAGGACTCTGTCAAGCCTAAGGAGTCCAACTGGATGGGTACCACCCCCTTATCTATTTCTCCCGCCAAGCAACAATGATTGCATTGTTGTGTTCCGGTTTGAAGGATAAGGTAGCCAGCGCAATTACAGGCCAGAGGCATATTATCTTAGCCCTCCTAGCTAAGTGACAACGCCCCTGCGGTTCCGTATTTTTGTAACATAAAACCTAAGTGCATGAACCGTAGGTGTTATGGGCGACAGGTACCTACCGCTTTCCATCAGGTGGGCTGTCTGCTCGTACACTCAGTACCATATAAAACTGCCTCGTTTAACTGCCTCGGTGGTGTAGTGGCTAGCATGTACGGCTGCACACCCGGAGGTCCTGGGTTCGAGTCCCGAGTCGGGCCAAGTTTAGTTATTGAGTCTTTCTGTATAGTAAGTCTCAGTAACAGCCCGGAGTTGGGAAGTTGGCGGTGTTTCACCCCCGTGCCTCGGAGAGCACGTAAAGCCGTCGGTCCTGCGCCTTAACTCTCACCGGTCGTGTCGAGTGGTCGTCCCACCGGAGTATGAGAGGGATAGGAATAGAGAGTGCACCTGTGTCTGCGCGTACACTTGAGCACTATAATATCTCCTGCGCAGTTGGCTAATCTCAATGAGATTGGCCGCCGTAGCCGAAATCGGCTAGGAGAGAACACACAACATCACCATATAAAAAATAAAAAATATAGGTATATATTGAAATTATTTTAATTTAGGCACACTTCGGTTCAAAAGATGTAAGAGCGCACGTCAAGTTTTAATCTTTAGTTAATTTTAGTCAGTTGTTTTGAAATATACTCGTATATCAATAAATTGAAAAAACTACTGAAACTAAAACTAGTTGACATTTAGTTTACTTAGTATTTCAAGTTAAAGCCGTTTAACATTTACAAGTTACCATTATTCATAACTAGCGACCTGCCCTCATTATTCAATCCCAAATTATTTAAATTACAGGTATTGTGATGTCGTAATAGAAAGGTATTTGTAACTAAAGCGCTCAGAAGCTAGGGAAAATTTAACATACTATTAGGGAAAGAATTATTAGAAGTAGGAATATGTGTTTGTCTCTATAAAGAAAAAAAAATGTAGCTGAATATATAATATTATGTTTAAAATCTTTTGACGGATTCATTTTCAGAACCCGTACGAATCACTCTTCAATTATAAATAACAGCCTCTTTTTCTTCAATTATAAATAACAGCTAATAGATATTCTTAAAGCTATGGTACATGTACAAAAAATTGTTCGTAGAAAGTCATTGTTTTGTTTAATAACAGCTAAAGCGAGAGCAGTATCTGTTTAATAGTCTTATTTACAAGTTTTCTCAGAATACTGGTAGCATCATAAATAAAATTGAATAGGTTAAGTGTATTATTATGAAGAAAATAAAAACGATTTATTATTATTACATATTTTGTTAGATAAAATATTTTTATTGCAAGAACATTATGGGCATTTGTGTGTATAATATTCTGAAGACAATTAAATAATATTAGATATTTTTATAGATACAGTTGTTTGTGTTTTTTACAACTTTTTACATGTTTTTATACGATTTATTTACAATAATTGAATTTAGGATTTGCCAAAGAATAAGTAACACCTAAGGCAAGCAATTGACTGTGCCAGTGAAAATGGTCAAAAGAATTATTTTTTCATTATGGATTGACAGCAAGTAATACTTATTTATTTAACAACACCAACTAAAATAAAATTGGACTTTGTAACAGCAAATAAAATAAATAAACCTCAGGCTTATCAACTCTACAAAATTTTAGCCGCTTTGCGCCCGGCATAAAATAGGGGCTAACCCTCTTGTAGGTGTCGTAGAAGACGACTAAAGGATCTAGGCACATCGCACCTTGAGTCCCTTGCTCGATGGCGGGTAAACTAGAGCATTCCCAAAGAGGGTTGACGTCAGGCAGGCGGCCGCTCGAAAAACTTTTGTCAAAACCCATAAGCAGTTTGGACGTACTGCACCCACCCCAAGTAATTTGGGAAATGGGCAGGGAGATGATGAGTTGTGTTTTTAAATTACAAAAAACAATTAAAGTTAAAAAAAATGTATCCAACATAAAATTAACTGGTAAACGTGACTTTAATCACGTTCGATGATAACAAATGATTATTTACTAGATTACGAATTAACCTTGTGTTAACAGTTTTTTTCTTTCAATACAAATTGTTTATTAAATGTTGCTTTATCAAATAATTTTTAGTACTTAATTGGACTTCTGCATTGCAATTTCAACCATCTCAACAGATTTTTTAATAAATACTAATTTCTTAAGATTTTGAAAAGTCTATCTTAGTTATCTATGTCATTATAAGAACATTATCGATTATATTACCTTTCAAACAAAAAATAAAATAAAATCGGTTCAGCCGTTTGGGCGCTACGATGCCACAGACAGACAGATACACAGATGATACACGTTAAACTTATTACTCTTGTTGTCTCGGGGGTTAATAAATAGATTGTAGTTTCTTATGCCTTAACAAATAAAATGAGTTTATAATTTAAGTTGTATAATTTAAGTTCAAAGTAGTAGAGATTTCATTAATTATACCACAAAAAAAATAACGAGAAAAACCATTAATGCAACGTTATTTTCAAAAGACAAAAGTTATACAGCTATATTACTATAAGTTACAATATAATTTTACTAAATAAACTTACATTTAGTCTCGAAATTAAACCTGTTTCTTAAGTTAAATTATGTTTAAGACAACACCGGTTCAAGAGGTTTTACCTTTAACTTTTTGTTGCAACGTCCGTCGTCTTGCTATATTTGTAATTTGTATCCGTTGTTCGACTATTAAACGAAAGTTTGTAATATTGGCCATGTCAGGTAAATACGATAATAGGTACTTAATGCGATTCTAAAGACCCATAAATAAGAAATTTTTCTTTGTGATGGAAAATATCTTTATAAATTATTTTTAAAAATCCATATTTAATAGGTACTTTAATTTTATTCCCGAAGTGAGAGAAAATTTAATATTTATTTTATCACTAGCGACTTACCCTCGCTTCGCTCAGGTACGTTCTTAGGAACATTTTATTTTTTTGAGCGGAACCCTTTACCGTAATTTTTTTCTAAAACAAAAGTAGCCTAAATTACTTCTTAAAACATCAGCTATGTGCCAATGAAAGTCCTGTCAAAATCTATCCTGCCGTTTTGAAGATTAACCGGAACAAACAGACAGACAAAAATTTTAAAAATTGTGTTTTTCTTATTAGTACCGTATATAATTTCATATGCATTTAGTAAAAAGGTGCCATTTTGATATTAGAAACACTAAACAGACACTTCAATTTTATTTATCTGTATAGATTACAAGACGTGATATCACCGGTTTCGAATTTGCATTATACAAGAACTATATTTGTTATTTTTCAGAAATATAAGTGAATAATACTTTGGTGATAACAGCTGCACTAATAGTGTGAAAAAAAACATGCCGTGACTCATTTAGTAATAGGTTACCTATAGATTAAGGCGTAGGTATTTAAAATGATGAAATACTTCTTTAAGATTAAATCAAGAAAAATATTGCGTCTAAAATATATACATATCTACGTAATAATAATATTTGTACTCTAAAAATTTACTCATTGAAAAGTACAATATCTCATAATATCATAGAATGTTTCTATGAATATACCTCGCGAATGGAACAGCCGAAAACTTGTAGATTTGTATGTTATTAAACAATTGAATTCTAATTATGCTATAATAACCTACGGTTGATATTCTCGTATTATCTCTTTCAGAGCCAAAGTTACAGCCCCAATCTCTGTGCCATTAAGCAGTGGAGACGTTTTGTTCACACCACCACCACCCAGTAGTGGCGCTTTAGTAGTCAATATACTAAACATTCTCAGCGGTTATAACTTCTCTCCAGAGAGCATCAATGGCTCGGAGAACAAAATATTAACCTACCACAGGATAATAGAAGCCTTTAAGTATGCCTATGCAGCTAGAACCAGATTGGGAGACTTGGATTTTCTAGACTTAGAAGATGTAAATGGATCTTTTTTATATTTTTAATATTACATCAATTAAAATGTTCACTACCATAGTTTCATCATTTACCTAGGGTTAATTAGTATTTTTTCCTTCCATAGCTTTCAATTTTCATTCAAAGCTTGCAATCTTTTAGTTTTCAAAAGTTTTATTATGAACTTTTTATTTCATGACATGTTTTTTACAGTTTATTAAAAATATAACATCTCCACACTACGGGACAGAGATTCGGTTAAAAATTAACGACTCCGCGACCAGTAACAACACAGCGTACTATGGGGCCACTGAGTATCAAAAGTCAGATTTTGGCACAGCACATATATCGGTCATAGCAAGCAACGGAGATGCCGTATCGGTGACGAGCTCCCTTAATTTCTAGTAAGTGAAAAGTATTTTGCTAAAAAATTTGCGATTTAATTTCTCTCGTAAATTCAAGGGAATCCTTTTTAAATTAAAATGCACATTTTACATAGTTATTGACTAAGGTCTGTAAATATTATTATGTAGAATGATCTTTTAGAAGACGTATTAGTGGTAAGTATTATTGATTATTCTCATAATTTACTAAATAAACAAATAATACAAATTCAGAATAGAATTCTTATTTAAGAACGCATACATAATTCATACGAATATTCCTAGAATTTGAATTTGGTTTTTTAAATGGCAAATATTCTTAAGGCGACATTAACACGGAACTTATAACATTACTTAAACAAAATAAATGTTTCAAAAATTACAGTTTCGGTGTGGGCTTCTCAACACTAAACACGGGTATCATAATGAACAACGTAATGGACGACTTCTCATCCCCCGGGATAACTAACTACTTCGGTCTAAAACCATCGCCTGCAAACTTCATCGCACCGGGAAAACGACCGCTTTCCTCAATGAGCCCTTGCATTATAGTTGATAAAAATGGTAATGCCAAAATGGTGATCGGTGCTTCTGGCGGGACGAAGATAGTCACTGCTATTTCTTTGGTATGTGGTACAGAAATATTTCTAGTTCCTATTCAACATCATTATCACTATAATCTATACCTTCTTAAACCATTCAGTCGATAGTGTAACCGAACTTTGGTCAGTTATTCTGCATAGACCTGCGAAGGTTTCTGACTCGAAAGAAAAATAGTTTTTCTTTGTATGTTTGTCCTCCATACGTGATTAAGCCATTCATTCCTAGTGCCGCACCCGAGCGAAGCTTGGATAAATCGCTAGGGGGCTATATTATAAATTAAGGTCACATGGTCAGTTTGTATTTGCTCGGGATGATCTCAGAACCTACTGTAATACTTATCGTACGGTTTTTACTGATAGGTAGATCTTTAGGAAGCTATATTTTTATTTTCGCATAAGCTATGCGTAAATAAGCAACATCGTAAATGCAAAGATCAGACGTGCTCTGGCACGAACCGCACCTGGGCTTTTAACCTGCTTGTTTTTCCAAGCGAGTGCGCCACCACTCTACTGGTCACCATTGAGCTACCGTTGCCTTTAGCTTTTAAATATGTTTTTGTTAATTTAATCCTTATATCTTATTATTCTTTCAACATTTAGGTAACAATGCGCAAGTTATGGTTCGATCAGTCTATCAAGGAAGCGGTGGACGAACCGCGCATCCACCATCAAATATTTCCAATGAATGTTGAATACGAATTTGGTGTAACTGGGGTGAGAAATAGTTTCTTTTATATAAACTTACATTATAAAGTAAATAACCAAACATTAAATATAAATAATAAGACAAGACTAATAAAATATAGAAGTTAACTTATTCTAAAACATTATTCTCATTTATTTCAAATAAGGGCAATAATATAAAAAGTTCAATCATTTTTTATTTTATATAAACCATTGTCAAAAAATACTGCGACTTTGTCGGTAGCATTTTATATTGTCATTTAATTATTTTTCGTATCTTTAATATGTCTAGAATACAGAATTTTCAAAATAATACGTGAAGTATGAATTTTACATTTTTTTCTTAATTATTTTCAGGATATAGTCGAAGGGCTACGAAGAAAAGGACACGGAATGGTGCGATATCGTAACCGTGGTTCTATTGTGTGTGCATTATATAGAAATAAAACTGCAATTTTCGCTAATGCAGACTTTAGGAAAGGGGGTGATGTTTCAGGAATGGATTAATATATGTATAAATTTATATTAAAAAATTTAGTCCAAATTATTCTAAATAATAAGCATTACGGTCTAATTCTTTACGACTTACGATGCTTTATTTCAGAAAAATGAAGGAATTTTCAGTGAAATTATCAAAACTGGTCACTGGTATATTGCATTGAAAGTTGTTGTTTTTTTATTGCATAACATTATCACTAAATACTGGTTTTTGAGGCTTACTACTTCTCTTATTTGGCTCAATCATTGAAAATAATATGATATACAGGACATTATTAATTAGGTAAATCAGTAGGTACCTACGTAGTAAGTTAGGAAAGTTTAAATATACCTACATCTCTTTTTAGTCACAAATATATAATTAAAGCCAATATTTTATATTTCTACTTTCTCCAACGCCTCCTTAGCCCTTACATGTAACTCATTCGATAATTTTGGATAATTAATGACACGCTGACGCTATTTAATGAACATTTTTCAGCTGGACCAAATATTGATAAGTTAGTTGCAATTTGGTTTTAGACAAAAATTATGATAAATATGTTTAGGTACTATAAATAGCATTTTGCTAATTATTAAAACTTTTATCATTCACGCAAATAATTTTACTTCTTGACTCTTCGAGTATTTTCACAATTACTACTCAGTACTGATATGTTTTTAAGAGAGCCTAATATTTATAGATATAAGATAAAATCAAACGATTCCACTTTTATATTTTATAGTCCACGGTCACACGGAAACCAGATGTTGTATAGCTAATTTATGTACATTTAAAACAGTATTATCTACCACGTCCAGTAGACATATGTAAAAATATATTTATTTGTATTTTACTTTTAAAAAACACGTATTATAAGCGGTGCATAGTAATTTGCAATTAAAATCAAACTATTACTTACTAAATATCCAATTATAGGTAGATTCTGGCTTTCATTACATGTATTGCGTATTTAAGCTTCATAAATAAACGAGCAGGTGGTATTAGACAAACCGTTACTTTTCAGTATGTTTTTTATAGTAAAAAGGAAAGGTCTTGTGAATTACAAACATGACGAAATATTTCATCTTTTACCTAATATGGACGTAAGAAACGCTGAATCGCTCATACCTGTAGAATTCAAAGGAATCTATTATAATCTACAACATTTATATAAGTCATAGTAACCTTGTCAGACGAACCGTGTGTGGTAAAGCAATTATATTATTACCATTTCGTTCTGTGGTCAAATGCTTTCATTAAAGTAATATGGCAGTTTTCTATTTTCACGATTCACATTGACTTTTGTGGCTTAAGTTTTAACTTTAAGCTTTATGTATTTTACTTACGACCATTACATTAATGGAATTAAGAAGAAATTAAAAATAAAAAGCATTAAATAATTGTATCGTTATTAATATTATTTTACCCTTTCGTCAAACTTATTATAGTAGATATTTTATTGTAAAAATAAAATCTGTGTATTAGATATACCTACTTATAGTTTTTTTATTCGTTTATTCAAGATGAAAGGCTTCACAGATTTATAATTCTTATTACTAACAGGCTTAAAGAGGATAAGTACCTATAGAAAATAAATAATTATAGTAAGAATATTCTAATTGTGCTATAATCGCTTTACAAATCGAATATAGATTAATCCCTATAATTAATTAATAAATAATGACAATAACTATGAAAATATAAAAGTAATGTCAATTTATAATTTAAATAAATATAGATATGTTTTCCTTTATTTTACAAAATAACGTTTGTATTTACTAACTAGGGGCTCAAGTCAACCTTGCTTCGCTCAGGTTCGTCTCTAGGTACGTTTTGACGCTTAGTATGGAATAGATTTTTTTCGTCTATTTTTCAGATATTTTAATAGTTGTTCTGCTATTCGGGGTGAAAAAAAATCCAACAAAACAAAGATCATAAAAACCGGTCCAGAAGTTCTCGAGTTATAAGTGTTGTAACAAACCCGACTTTATTTTATATATGTATGTATATATAGAATGTAGATAAATGATTATAAATTTTAAGTATAACATAAAAAAATTGAAAATGTTTTAATGTTCACCGCCCCAGTGATTAGTATAATATAAAAATATTGTATGGAAATTATTTACCTTAAATATAAATATCCATAAATCTCATGTCGACCATTGTTAATTAATTATAAGTTCAGTATTATAAAAATGTAGGGAATAAGGGTTCTTTATAAAAAAAAACTCTAAATATCGAACTATTTTTTTATTACCAATCCGCTTGTATGAACAATACATAACACTGTAAAAAAATGAACCAAAGACAACATTTTTTGACTTTGGTAGGAATAATCATTGGTTCATCTCCTATCCACAAGATACCTATTACCATTCAAAGAAACATAAATAAAGCTCCCAGCGCAAAAGAATCTTATAAGAATATTATTTATTTATAATTCCGTAATACAATGTTTTCATATAACTATTGGTTACGCGACGCACGCTTGATTTATTCCGACATCTTCAACAATCTTTGTCATATTTTAGCCAATTTATACCAAAACCTTAATGAATATAATTCACTAAATCTTCCCCATGAATCACTCTGTCCATTGGTGAAAAGCATATGAAAATCCGTTCAGTAGTTTTCGAGTTTATCGCGTTCAGACAGACAGACGCGTCGGGGGGAACTTTGTTTTATTATAATATATGTAGTGATTAGCTGCATCTGTAACTTCGTACGTCGACAAATTATTATTCAGGAAATTTTTCATACTTAGTTTCTTTAAAATCCTTAAACATCAGCTACTACTAGTAGACTCATCGATGTAAATTCAGTTTCGTATTCAGCCCTTTTTATCGTCCCACTGGGCACGGGCCTCCCTTCAGTACGAGAGGAATCACACCATAGTCCACCAGGCTGGCCAAGTGCGGGTTGGCGGACTTCACATGTCTTTCGAAAACTTGCTAAGTTCTCTTAGACATGCAGGTTTCCTCACGATGTTTTCCTTCACCGTAAGGTGTTAGAAATGATTCGCACATGAAAATGTCAGAGGTGCGACACCCGGGATTTGAACCCGCTTCATTCGGGGTCCCAAGCGATCGCCTTACCACTGGGCTACCACTGCCTAGATTCAGTTTAGTTTATTCAAATTCAGTTTATTTACAATTAATATGAACAATCATACGTCGTATGCATGGACGAATTAGAGACTGGACCTGACATAAAATACAAATGTATGAAAACTAGTTCAACCAAGTGACGCATAACGCACACAAAGATTTTATTACATTATTATAAACACTGACACACAATACAATATTTCTAGTGCTTGAACGTAATAGATAAAATACATATATCGATGAACCAATGAATGACATTTTAGACATTTGTAAGCATATTCATCATATTTTACATCTTTTAATTCAAAATATCTGTATTTATTATAATAAATTAAAATAAATGAATTAAAGAGGCAATAATAATGTGTCAAATAATAATTATTTTTTAATTTGATTTATATAAATACGATGGCATTGATGGCAACATTCTGTTGGCCTATAATAATGTTAATGAACAAATTAATGTTGAATTGATTCTGTTATTGAACTATTTTAATTGGCAATTGTCTCGGGTAGTTATAAAAATGTGACACTGTCCTAATATTGCTCAGTTCTTAATAAACATTTGTGAAACTAGGAAAAAGAAAAAGTGATTGCAAATTGTGAAAAAGTGAGTGTTGGATCGTGAAAGTAAAATAATTAGTGCAAGTGGTAAAGTGTTTTATTACAAATCGCCAACCCAGAAGTTTAGTGCTAAAACATTATTATTTGATTTTGTGTAATTTATGTGTTGAAATAAAATGATCTTTATTATTATTACAATGGAATAATATTCCAAAGTATATAAATGTGGTATAAAATAAAATAAAAAATTAAGTACACATAAACACTAATTATAATTTTTGCATTTATACTTTTATGTGATTTAGAAAATATTTTTATAAATTTATTGTCATCAGATTGTAGGATACTGTGATAAAAGTATTTTATTTTATTGTACTGTACAAATAACACAATTCGTTCAGTTATTTCGTCAAATATCGATATATTTTTCGACGTTGTCAAGCACTAGTCGATGTCAAATGGACTCACTCGACAGTTTCGTCATTTGTTCTGAATGGTATAATCCAGCCATTTTATGATGGTTGTCAGATGTCAACAATACATAGAAATATCGACTATATTTAACATAATTGGATAATATGACATTTTATTTTACATTTAATTAAATTTTGTGATAAATAACAATAAATGTAATAAAATAATGTATTTACAAGTGAAAAGAAATAGTGCTGCTTCCGCCGTTATAGTTTTTACACCATTTAACAGAACATTTAGTCATTTTTGGGAGATGTTTTGTTGACAAGTAAGTGCTTGAGACTGACACAAAAAACAAACGACCTAGGCTAAAATTCCCTGGTTACAGACATGACCGTTAAAGGTACGTCCGCTTATATGTCTGGTCCAGTGGTTAATTCGTTCATGGTCGTATGCATCCGCCTTTATTCTCCTTTATACCTAAGACTTTACAATTTTATAAAAGTACGAGTAGAATAAAATTAAAATAGAAATATTAATATAAACTATAAAATTAAATATAATCATATTTGCATTGTAATTGCATTGCAAGATAACTAATACTTATTTCTAATAATAATCTACACAATTCTTAAAAAGCATTATAGATTTAAATGTTTTGACGAAATCATTCTTCTTTATTTTATTTATTTTCGACAACGACAATATATAAAAGTATCAGGCAATAAAAGATTAATGGAACAACTTGACAATTTAATTTTAAAGTAATAACTTTTATAACTTAACTTTTATAACCTAGTAGTAACTAAAATATCGAAATATTTTTATAATGGCAATAAAAAATGTTCACGGTCTTTCGAACTGACTGATTTCTCTCTCACAATATTTGCCTACACCATAGTAGCGAGTGGTAATCATGTTGAAATAGAATTGGATATAAAAAAATCAAAAGTCCGAGTTTTAAAAGAAAGCTAAATGATCCACAACAAAATATATTTTATAATAATATAAATTAAAATAATATAACATTAAAATAATATAATATGAATAATATAAAAAAAAAACAGTTTAATAATAGCCCAAACACACGAAAATCTAAACGAACATACATAAAATTTTTAAATACGTAACACAGAATTTAGACTTTTATTGTTTTTCCTGCACGTTTTTTGAAACCCTCTAAAACGACGAATATTTATTGGTTTTCAGTGGCCATTCATATTTATTTATCAATTATAGTAACTGTAACGATAATAAAATAAATAATAGTTGAAATAAAATAAATATTTGAATTATAAAAATGAGTAAAAAATTAATCATATCAGTTAAATGTATTTATTATATTTTAAAAATATTAAAAAAAAATTAAGGACATATACCGTTACTTTTTGTAGGTATACCTACACTATATATGTGTTCATATTGTTCATATTGTCTTAAAATTAAGTAACACGTGTTAACTTAAATAAAATCTTTATAAATTAAAATATCCATTTATAAATAAAATCTTAAAAATGCTCATTTGAACAATAATTCAAGTTGTAACAAACATCGTTTGAATTAAATTATGGTCACTACAGTACCTACAAAGATTATTATTTCTTTTTTATGTCTAAAACGCAAGTTACAATATGTAGGGTTAATAGTCTATGGTAATGTAAGGCAATGACGAAATCCAAAACTATGAGGTATAAAATGAATCCTTGCCAAAAACCTAACCCACTGGTTTTGAATAAAATATAAACTTGTAAAACGCGTCAAATCTAGTGTACTTCACTAGTTTGGTATTGATTTTTAATTTTTATAAAAATTATCCATGTACATACATTCTTTGTATATTAAAGCTATTGTATATTTTACAGCTTTGGATTTCGCCATCTCCATTTTACACCCTAAAAATAATTTACCTAGATAATTTTTTATCGAACCGGCGATAAACTGCTCAATAATGCGATATATGTACTAAATATACATGAAAAAATTAACAAAAAAAACGTGTGTATGTACTTATGTACGCAGGTAACAAGTTATACTTCTTTGGCGTAACAAAACCAAAATAGCTAAAGATTTCATCCAATATGCCACGACTCTGTAAAAGGAATGGAGCTAACTTCATCATGTCGCTTTTTGGCTGTCGGTGCGCATTGTAAAAATGTTACTCTCATATTTTTTTCCAAACGTGTCAAAAGAAGTATAAATTAAAAAAAATTGGGTTTTACCAATAATCAATTATAAGTTAAGTACATCTCTCATAGCTTCAACGGGAGTCACAAACTTGGTGGATCCAATCAATACAACATTATCAACTCCGCTGGTGATAACGCTTCTGTGCAACTGCTTCGATTCCTCTGCTGTAATGCCACCAACAACAAATAGTATGACCGTTGCATTATCTAGTGGATGCTTGGTATTCTTTTTCTTGCTTGTTAATATACTGGAAAAGAAACATAATTGATTTTATTTATTTCTTTAGGATTGTCAACAGATTTATTATTACATCATGTGAATGATTCTTTAAATTGACATAACTTTTTTTATTTATGAACCGACTTAAATCGGTTAAGCCGTTTCTGAGATATCGCGCACAAACGCACAGACAAACATTCTAAAAATCATTGTTTTGGGTTCTATTGTGTTAATACCCCCCAATAATAGTCTTTCTCAAATATCTTCCATATGCAGACAGCGATCAGCGATCAGTTACATTTTTATTATATGTATAATTCAAATTATGCTTTTAGTACATTGATTAAATGCTTTTTTTAAAAGGAGAAACCAAGAGCCAAGTGCGGGTTGACGGACTACACATGTCTTTCGCGAACTAAAACGGTTTGATGTTTATTACGCAGATCGTCGTCTCAGTACTTTTTTGTCCAAACGACCAATCTACCGAAAGCATTTTTAATACTGAATTATTGACCTTTAAATGTCAATTCTATTAATACTAAATACACATTTTACTTTAATAGATGCGAAAAAATGTATTTTATCTATATTATGTATATAAATCTTAGAAATAATAATTTGGTTACTAAAATAGAAGAAAAAAGCTCTCGACTGTACATGCTGTACATACAAGTATTGATTGTTTGAACAAGTAAGATCTAAGACGATGAGATGACCTGGAAACCATACTAACATTACAAATGCGAAAGTAATTCTGTCTGTCTATTACGTTTTCACGCCTTAACCAATTTTCATGAATTTTGGTATAGTGATAGATGGTACCTTATAGAAGTAAAACTACAAATTAAAAGCCATATTTACTTGAGCCCACTTCGCAATAAGTCTTTAATTCCTTCATTCCTATGCCGCAGATCAGTTAACTCTGGTCGGTCAGTATCAACTAGATCGTTAACCAGCTGTTGTAGAACCCCACGGTATTCGTGGCCGGTGCCCGTTTCGCACTGTTTTAAAACTGACGTATATCTAAATATGGAAAACGACATCAAAATTAGTTATTATTCTATCTAGGCATTTTTAACTTTATATTGTTCAATGCATACATTAATTTAACAAATACTTTAAAAAATCAAGCAAAATCGCATCATACTCGGATACCCAAATGCCCTTACTTTAGAAAGAAAAACATTATATATATTAATGATATATATAATAAATAATGTCTTTCTCACTGATTTCGGCGACGGCGAGAAATCTCATTTGGCGTTCTCATAGTCAATTTTACTGGTAAGAGATCAGGCACAGGACCGATACTTGGGAGTGTAACACCACTAACTTTCCAACTTTTTTAACGAAAAATTGAATAATTATATTTTGTCTACACCAGGAATCGAACCCAGGATCTCCGTATCTGCAATCCAACATAGCTAAAAAATAGTCCAAAGACAGTCAAATAAGTACATATGTATAATAGTATAGGTAAATAAACCCACATACTTATTTAAAATCTTCCTCATCTGTGAGATTTCTTTTAACTTTCCCATAATATTCTTAGCAATATCTTCACATTGCTCAGGAGTAACGAGTGATGTATCACTTGTGAGCAAACTTTTATGGTCTTCAAATATGGCGATACTAAGGGTCTCTTGAAGATTGTCTTCATGTTGCTTATTAAATATAACTTCAGTACCAGTTAAGGAATATACATGGATGAGAAGAGCAAGAAGACTATCCAATGGAAGGTTTCTGTCTTTTCTGGTTTTAATTATGTAACTCATCTGAAATTATAAGTAATATGAATTTTATTAATGTAAAACTTTATTAGGTTTTACATTAATAAAATTTGAAAAACTACCTACGAGAGATATCTGGAGGCACTCGCAGAGTGCCTGCTTTAGAGAAACAGAGATATTTTACCTAAGCTCTAAAATCTAAATGATGACGCATATATTTATTTGGGTTTATTTCCCACGATGTACCTAATCACTACGAAATCTATTAATTGCACTGAGAAAAGTAAATATCGATAATATTTAATTTTTATTTCTTCTTCATGTTTTCGATGGCCGAATTTATAGTATATATATATATATATATATATATAATACTTGAGTTGTATATTTAACACTATCACTAAAATGCATATTTATTGTGTAAATAAATACAAGTCTTAGAAAAACAATCATCGTCTATTAAACTTCTTCAAAATCAATAATTCACTTACAAATAAGGCACAGTTTTATCAAAATTCTGAAGAGCGGTAAATTGAGATCTTATCACCATCATTTTAGAATACGAATGCAACTTAACTATTCTCGATGGGAACTAATATAGTTTCACAAAAGTTAGATAAAGAGGCGGTGGTTCCGTGGTCAGAACTGTTCGTTTTTATTCAACGTAGTACTAGATGTTGTCTCGGCATGCATTCAGGACTAGCCTCCATGGCTGATGATGATGTATGCCGATGATATAACGCTCGTTGATAAGAGCCGTGTAGAGCTGGAGCGTAGGGTGAATCTGTGGAAGGGTACGCTTGAGAACGATGGTGTCAAACTAAATGTCGCGAAGACCGAGTATATAGCTTGCGGGAGTCCGGACTCCAGCACCATCCACATAGGGTTTGAACCAGCCGTTAAGTCGAAGAAATTCAGAAAGCATCGATCACGAAGTTTAAGCCTGTATAAGGGAAGCTGGAGGTCACAGGTGTGGTTTGTGATCGCAGAATACCGTCCAAGCTCAAGGAACAGATAAACAAGAGCATCATCCGACCAGTCCTTTTATACGGAGGCGAGTGCTGGGCAGCGGTATCTCAACACACTCCTGAGCTTCACGTCATAGTCAAGTTCAGTTGAAGAGCATCTTCTGAGATGGTGTGGCCATGTCGCGCGTCACAAAATCACCATCGCTGGATGAATCTGTAAGGTTCAAATCATCATAGGGTTTTTGGAATCATTGTCATTTGTTTCATTTGTCTTATTATTGTTAATAACCATTTCTGTTAAATTCTCTGCAGATTTTTCAGATTTTTTGTGTTTGTGGATAGTAGGGCCTGGACTTTCTATAGGTTTTACTGGCAGCGATTCTTCAATAAGTTCTCTTACATGATATCCGTAGCCGTCTTCATTGGTATTATTATTTTGTTCTGTTCGTTCAATTTCATTCAGGTCTTGTGAACTCATGTTCGCCATGTGACTAGTGGCTAAATCCATAATTTTTGTAATTCGAGATTTCGAAAATGATAATAAAAATAAACGTCTGTAAGAAGGTACACCTACCTGATTCATTTCGGCAACAACTAATTGCAACTGTGTGTGGTGACGGATTGAGAAAACTGAAAGTCACCAACCCTACATTTCGAGGGTGTCGTAAAAGACGATTAACCACTTGACAATCCACGCGCTCATCTTAATTGTTATTGAAGGATCAAGTTCATGCAAAATAACTGCTCCAAAATCGCGAAAAAAAATTGCATACCATCATAAAACCCAAAACCAAACCAACTCAAATCCCAAAACCAAAAAAAGTTAAAAGTTTATAGGTGTATCCCAGCACTTGTATCATTTAGCACGTCTTGTTCTTCATACATTTTTGATTTAGATTTGGTTTGAGTTTTAGATACAATTCAATTTATATTCGTTTACACATAAAGGTTGATTTGTCCACAATTAGGATTAGTAGGTACATGTTGAGTTGTTGTTGACCTACAAAATAAGGTACTCAAGTTTAACCTAGCCCACTTAGAACGCGAACTAGAATTTTTTAAACCTTGTTTTTGCTCTCCTGTAAAATGTAGATTTTTTACTTATATCACTTGTCACAGGAGGCACAGACTAACACAAAACATTCAGGGCGCAAGACAACTATCTTTCCAACTCGCTGCTGCCAGCATAGTGGAGAGGATGTAGCGTCCTTACACCAAAAATTATAATTAAAAATAGCACATCTAAAGCATGCTTTATATATCCTAAGACAGTTGTCGTGTGTAAGAGAGGAACAAAATATGAGAATCAAAACAAAAGCCAAAAGTAAAATCGAGGTCTACATTTCTATTAAAGGTTCTCTCCAAGGCTGTATGGTAGATTTACCCGACAAAAACGAAATCCTTATAATTTGCCCGCCCGTCCGTTTAAATGTCACAGTAATATACTGCGTGTGAACCGGCACTATTAACTATCGTGAATCCAGAGCAATAAAACAACTATAGTACTTTCCGATCCCAGAACTAACAACATTCTTAAAAAAACCATGGGAAGACCTAAAAATCTGCTGCCGTAAAAGTTAAGCCTTAGAAATTACATCAAGAAATTTTAAATTAGTATACATTTCAATGACAGCAGACCAATAAGTAAACCTAACTAAAAGTAAAATCAAGGTCTAAATTTCTATTAAAGGTTCTCTCCAAGGCCATGCGGTAGATTTACACGACAAAAACGAAATCCAAATTATAATTTGTCCATTCGTCTGTCCAAATATCACAGTAATATTACTCAGAGACTATTGGAACTATGTTGCTGCAAGGTAGGTAGAATGATATATCAAGTCAATTCCTAGACAATTCTGTGAAATTATGGAAAAAAGGGGTTCTCTTTAAAAAAAAATTTAGTCCACATGTGTTGAATATGAGACTCGGGCATTTGTACTTCCAAATGCCACCCCTACTTTACCTGATGTAAAACGCTGGTAGAGTCTCTGCTAGTGGCAAGATTTTGTAATACTTGTTTTTCCAAACTCATTAACAGCTCCAACTGAATACGCTTGGGTGACTTCAGCGTTTGCACTATACCTAGAGCTTGTTGGAGTATGCCGAGATGTCTTGCTATTATATCATAATTACCTAAAAATATACATAATATGTAAGTATACACAAAACAGATTTAGTGTATCATATACTAGTGATCTAGTTGGAAGCTAGTTTTTGAAACTAAAAACATAATAATACTGAAATAAAATGAAATCAATATTAGTTTTGGATCGAAATGGTCAAAGAACTATTAATTTTAATTAAGTATGGTTCAGTAGCTTAAGATTTTATCAATTACAAACAAAAAATATTCTTTCCTTATAATATTTAGTACAGATTGGATTAATATCATAGATTAGAGTCAACATAATTTGATATGTTTTGGACGATAGATATTATATTACGTTAGAAAGATTGTTTTAGGAAAGTTTGAATAGTAATGAGGGCAAACCAAAGGAAAGTCTTATAGATAAATTTGCTTTATAATTAAAATGTATATTATCATGAGGTCTCATCACGAACAATAAAATTAGTTCAAAAAAATGTTGTGATTATGTGTTGTTATTAAAGTTGTGTTAAATTAATAAAAGATAAAAAATTGGATCCCAAAAATGTATATTATTATTTTAGAAATTATCCTAAGTGAAGGGATAATAAATAATGCGCCCGTACATCAAACTTGCAAAACCAATTATTGAAATATCGGCTATCAGATAAGGGGTTTGTAGTGTATATTCACAGATGGCGCTTATACTTTTTATGAATTGTTTATCATGGTTAAAAATGGTTAAAATCACAGATTTTTTTATTCAAATGCAGAATGAATTTTACAATATTTACCATTTGTTAGATTGCACATATTTTTAAAATAAAACAGTTTAACTATTTGCATAACTAACGACGTCTATTATATATTCAAGCAAACAAAAATACCCCAAGTTAGTGCTGTCCAATTTCTTTGTATGGAGTACGGGATGAGGTATCTGTACTAGTATATTATTATATCATTTGTGATATTACTAAAGAATAATATACCTTTAGAAGCCGATATAATCTTTTCAACACTCTGTGGTGTGACTTTTAAAAGAGTTTTAGGTCCCGGTGACTTTTGGACGTCCAGTTTGGACAATTTATTGTAGAGATCGAACATAACTTCCTTTTGTGATTTATTTATCATGTGGTCGTATGTCTGTGCGCAGGAGTCATCGTTGGCGTGGTAAAGACAGCCCGGACTCAATTGCACATCTTCAGGGTGGGCAATACTGGAAGCAAATTTTTGTTACTATAGATAGATAGAAAAATTTATCTGCTTGTTATGGAATTTACTTATTACTAAATGTGATAAATTACTCATATTCTCCAAATTTAATGAAACATAACCTATATTCATATTAATTACTGTTCTCCGAATGGCCAAAATTAGACTATAATCCTCATTGGAAGTCTGAGATTAAAAATTAAAAAAAAAACGCGACATGTAATTCGCCATTTTGTGGTGGCGGCCATCTTGGATTTGAAATTTATCATAGTGTATAGTATTCTACTAGTTAAGCCCTTTCATTTGTTACTCATATTGAGCGAGTTGTGAAAAATATGTAATCCGCCATTTTGTGGCGGCGGCTATCTTGGACCGATTTTCATCAAACATAGCTAAGAACACTCCAGACTAATTGCCTATTTATAAATAATAATGTCCTTCTGACTGATTCCGGCCACGGCGACCAATCTCATTGAGACTAGCCAACTGTGCAGGAGATATTATAGTGCACAAGTGTGCGCGTAGACACAACGTGCAGAGTGCACGTTGAGTCTATTCCTGTCACTCTCATACTCCGGACCGACGGCTTTACGTACTCTCCGAGGCACGGGGGTGAAACACCATCAACTTCTCAACCCAGGGCTGTCACTGAGGCTTATTATACAGCAAGACTCAATAACTAAACTTGGTCCAACCCGGGAGTCGAACCTCCGAATGTGCAGCTGTACATGCTAGCCATTACACCTCCGAGGCAAAATTGTAACTAAGCCGAATCTGTACATTAAATATTTTTTGGAAAATCTTATTGAAATAAACATTATTTTCGATACTGAGGCCGAATCGATAGTTTTTAGAATTTTTGTCTGTCTATCTGTCTGTCTGCCTGTTACCGCATCACAGAAAAACCACTGAAGGGATTTTGATGAAATTTGGTATGATGATAGTTGGTTATCCGGGTTAACATATAGGATACTTTTTATCACGGGAAAATATCTCATTTCTGAGAAAAAATACAAAAACTGCATTGTAAGAGTATACTAATATGTAAAACCTAAGAATTTGGGGTTTGGTCATCTGAACGCAGGTGGAGCTGCGGGCAATGCTAATATATAATATGTAGATTACAATGTAATGTATAAATATATTACTTACACATTAGCTTCACAAAGTGGTGACATATCCACAGCAACATCATTAGAATGGCCGGGGAACCTCGGCAGTACTGCCATCATTTTATCAAGAACTGACTCCATAGCATGACTTGTTACACCACACAGGTCTAATGTACGATCTACTATGATAAGTGACACAGGATTTGAACAGTTCTGAAAAAGAGATATTGGATTAATGATAAAAAAATCCTTACCAGAATAAACAATGATTGAGATCAGTTTTGAGCCCTTTGAGCACTCTAATTTGCATTTCTGTAAAAAGATTTTAGAGCATTAGGGATGTTCCTAGGGACAGTGATGATAAGTCAACAGTAAGGATATAAAATGTACCTTTGCTAATTAATTGACAGTTATACTTACAAGTACTTAAAAGATTACTATGGATAAAGGTATGATTATATTTAAGCAAATTTTAAATACCTTTCTTCTGGAGACACAGACTGGAGAATTTTCCAATACACCTGCAATCAAAGAACTGAAAGCTCCCATGTAATATATATCTTCTTTCATATTCATTGAATCTAACATACTGTTCAGACCACTAGCCAGTCTTCGTACGAGTGACCTCTCTTTATTTGATAAAGTATACAGATCAATGGATGGAGTGTCAGGAATTAACTTTCCATCATATTTTGGATAGATTTTTGCATATGGAGGAGTCAAAAATATGATATTTGTAGGAGACACTGTAAATAGTGGGCTATACACAACTTCTACTGCACATTGCTGAAAGAAATACAATACAAAGTAAGCTAAGTTGCATTTGACAAAGCAGTAACTTTCTAGTCAAAATATATAACTGAGTTTTAAAAAATGTGTTAATAAAATATACTGAAATAAAATTTAAGTATAAAATATATTATTTCTAATGAACTTTTATAAAAAAATATGAAGAAAATAATTACACATACTTTTTTTCCAATCCATTCTAGAAGCATGTTTTCAAGCTGCTTAGTTGCTTCAACTGGTGCTTTTCCAGATGACACCACATCACTAACATCTCTACTCTCATTCAGCTCCAAGTACACGATATCCCAACTCACACATGATATTAAAATACAATGAGTAAAGTCACTATTCTTAATTATCTCTCTGATCGTTTGGAGCTGAGTGCTTGTTGTCTGTGTAATAAAAACAGCTTTTCTGTGTTCTTTTTTGGAGAACTACAAACAAATTTTGTTGCATTATTTTAACAGATCGTATTTACCTACAAATCGAAACAATCGTATTTCTTTATTATAAAACAAAAATAATAATATTTAATAATTACTTCAAAAGGAGACAAGCTCTTTACAGCAACTGCTCCACCATCAAGTAAGTTGAATAAACCCCCATCCCAATGCAAACATTCAGCACTGACATCATCCAAGAACACTACCGCACCTATTATACGATTGTATACTTCTGCCCACCAAGCTTTGCTAAATTCTTTTACAGATGTAGTCATTTTCTAAACAATTACTTGAAAATGAGAGCAAAGATCGTAGAAAACTTGATTTTTGTTTTATTTTGAGTTTTTAATATATCTTAACCTACACATATTTTAATTAAAATGCACTTTCTTGTATTAAATTGCAAAAAATTAATTTTTGTTTTAGTTTATGATAAAATTTGTATTTTTATATATTTTTTATTACTATTCTCCGTGTTTATTTGTGCCTAATAAAGTAGATATGATGTTTATATATGTAGCAATATACTCTATGATATGATGACAAAAATGAAAAAATTAACTTCCAACTGTCAACATGACGTGACCATTGACCATTGACAGTCACAGAGTGAAAAGCAAAAATGCATTAAATGGATGTAGAAGTAGAAATCAAATCCTTTCAGCAATAAAATGGCTTTTATCACAGACATTTTTAGTCTTCCGTAGCTTTTATTATAATTATAAGAGTACAAAAACACTATAATACGTTTCTGTACAGACATTTTTATAAAGAAAAGAAGAGAAAAATTCGTAATATATGAATTATGTGTATTTTACGATTATTTTAGTATATTTTGTATTATTGCGCCATCTATTATCCAGTAGCATAACTAAATATATTTTTTCAAAAAGTTAATATTAATAAATCGATAAATGCGTGTCCGACTCGCGCATCGAGGATTCCATTCCTCCATATATAAAATTAATAAAATATCAAATATGTCATTATATATGTTGTAATAAGGTATAAACGATAATAATATGTATTTTATGGTAATATGTATATATATGTATAATTCCATATTATAATATATCAGAGATGCTGAAAAACATAATTAATGTTGTGGTCAATAAATTAAATGGTACAATCAAAATTGTCTCCACTCTTACCACTACCTTAAAAACTATTCAACTTATCGTCCCCAAAATCATGGTGTCATTAAGAGCGAGGGAAGATTAGTTCTAATAAATGTCGATAGATGGCATTATATGTATGGATTTGTTCTTAGATTGTGTAAAATTCACATAAATAAATTATTAAAGAGTGCTTGTATCAATGTCTCAACACGCGCAAGAAGTGAAACTTCTGTCTGTAGGTTATGGGTACTTTTTATGATATTCAATTTATGTTTTAAATTATTAAGCGAGGAAAGATACTAATAAAATTTTTTCTCGATTTAATTAAAAAGGAAAACAATATTTTATTATTCACATAGTAGGTACAGATGGTGTTAAAATAAAATTTAATTTTCAATGACGTTGTAACGATTCGATAAATTTTATACTGCAATAAAATAAATGAAAATACAGGGATGCAAATTTTTTAGTGAAAAAAATGTATTTATAATATATAAAAATTTATTTAAATTACATAGTTTTTTTTTTTAATTTTCATTTGATATGATTCCATTTCCATCGCTCATTTAAAAATAAGTGAATGAAATATTTTTTATTAATATCTATTTTTATTTAATTTATACTTTGAAATATCCATATACATAATAGTTTAAATAATTTTAATTGACTATTTATTCACTTTAGTAACAATTAACAACCTTCGGTTACAAAAATCGTAACGCCAACGGCTAATCCTTTTTTCCCTCTCATGGCGCGCCTAAAGAAGTTTCACTTTCACTTCAAAAAAAATCTCACTGAGGTAGATACGTATATTGGAGTGTTTAAAAATTGTCTAAGTAAAGGAAAATTAAAGAACAAGCTCGTAAATCAAAGCGTAATTTTACTGATTTTATACATTAGGTAACGGTTTTGTAGTGTATTTACGAATGTCGCCGTTTACTTTTATGAGGTGCCCACCACAAAATGATATATTGTGGTTTTAAAAAATCTGTAAGTTTTTAAATCAAATTGCCGTAACTTTAGTAAATATAGCAACTAGGGATGGGACATTTCACGAGTAGCAAGTGAAAAATCACGTGAAATGCGTAATCATACGTCACACCTGCTACTTAAATTCATAGTGGCTGCTACAAATCACAACTTGGTGAAATCTAGAGCTGTAGCAAACCGTATGTATTCGTTACTGAGTAACGGGTACGCCATCTAGTACCGAGTACCGAAACGTTACTCACGAATGCATTTCGTTACTCGCATTTTCCGTATACATTTTCGTACTGATGTTTTTATTGATTTTTTATTCAACAAAATACAATTTTCAGTTAATACCGTTGATCAGTAAATTGGGGAGTTTATTTATTTCGAGTTGCATGATTTCGGATTCTTAGAAATATTGTTTAGAAATAATTTTAAATTAGAAACAACAATTAAATTTAGAGCACATTTTTAGTTTTTTATCCAACAAATACTTATAATTTTTACTGAATGATTATGTGTAATACGTACAGACATAACCACCAACGCTGAGAACGAGCTAGAAATGTTTATTAATGAACCAGTGCTTCCGCGCGATTCTTCGCCATTAGTTTGGTGGAAATCTCACTCCTATATGTACCCCAATTTGGCGGAAATATTTCATGAGCACTGTCACATCGTGGTGACATCAGTGGAGTGTGAGAGAGTATTTTCAAAAGCGGGAAATTTTGCAACCCAAAAAAGAGCACGATTAAGCAGAAAACGAACAGCGGAACTTGTATTTTTAAAAAGCAATGAAGACTATTGTATATAGATATCTCATAAAAAAAACAATCATCAAAAAAATCAAAAAGCAAAAAAAATGATTATACACAAATTAAAAAAATTAAGAAAAACAAAAAAAAAGTGTATAAAATTCTTTTATAAAAATTCTTATTGTACATAAAAACAATGAACTTTTAAATACGCCAATGTAATTATGGAACTTAGCTTAAAACAATTTTACCGTGTGATTACTCTGATATATTTAAAATTCATTTAATTTTACATTGTCAGTCCCAAGCCTGTAGAAGTATGAGGGAAAGTTCATTGTTTGAAAATAGGTTCATTCAAAGCACCATGTACGTATGCAACTACGTCAGATCTATATCTCTGCTCCATATCACATCAGTAGCGCCATTCTGCCCACCTGAGCCTAAAGTGCAGTAATAGACATTTTGGTCGGTTTTGAGTTAAATATATATTCTAAATCCCCATTTTAGTAGCTATCAGTCAAATTAATTCTTTTTTCTGTAGCGCTAATAAAAGTATTTTATTTTAATGTTTTTTCGGAAGGTGTAACAGCAAAAATATCACAAATCTGTTAAAATATTCCATGTTTACCAGCTAAACCGCAGTACAATTAATACTGCACAAGATTTTTCTCTGTTTCCTAACTAAACTGCAGTGTTTTATCATATTTTGTGGCACTTAAAAGAGTAGTTTGTTCTAGGAGATTCAAGAAAAAACTTATTAAAATGCAGTATTATTCGACTCTATACAAATTGATTATACTGCAAAGGTTAAGAAAAAATATTTTTTATTTATATTCCTAATTAAAGTGCAGTATTAACATTCCATACTGCACATTAACTTGTGGGGGATTTTGTAATTTCTTGTGAAAAACTAAAAACATGCAGTATTTAATAACTTTACTGCAGTTTAACTTGTAAGATGTTTTGTAGTTGCTTGTAAAAGACCATTTAGTTTACAATATTTATAAATTTTACTGCATATTAGTTAGTTTGCTTCATCCAATTCATACTACCTAAAATACTTAAAGTCAAATACTATTCCCTAATACTGCGTTTTAATAGGTAAAATTATTAAAATATTAAAACACAGGACAGGCAATATCGCGGTTTGAGGCAGTCTCCTTAATCTGTGGCTTAAGGCTGACTTGATGTGCCATGCTGTGTCTGTACCAAAGAGATATGGAGGGTAGAACTAAGGAGAACTATTTCTCGTATAAAAAGTGACCGCTGACAAGCATTAAATTGGTGGCGCCACAGAAAACAAGTATATGAATCTATACATCTATACAGATAAATAAAATTGTAGTGTCTGTTTGTAATGTCAAAATAAACCTTTTTACTAAATGCATATGAAATTATATACGGTACTTATAAGAAAAACTAATTTTTAAAACTTTTTGTGTCTGTTTGTTCCGAATAATCTCTGAAACGGCTGGACTGATTTTGACGGACTTTCAGTGGAAGGTAACTGATGTTATAGGGAGTAATATAGGTTACTTTTATTAAAAAAAAGAATTAGAGTTCCGCTCAAAAAAAAGTATCCAGGGACGAACCCGAGTGAGGCGAGGGTGAGTCGCTAGTTTAAAACATAACGTCATAAAAGTAAGAAGGTGAATTAAACAAGGAAAGAAAGATTTCCGCTTTGCTGTGGCGCACTTTTCTAAATAGTTCTAGCATAGGCAAACAGCAATATAATTATATATTATTTTCAAGTAATAATAATTCAGCACACTTCACTCCGTTAAAAACTACTAACTTCACATCACATCTACTTGCTACGCTAGTGCTGTAAAGCCTAGTTCGCATTAAGCTAGTATTTTAGTCTAGTAGCGAGTAATTTAGTAGCTAAATTACTCGCTACTCACCAAAAATCGTTCGCACTTTGGTCGAGTACAGTTTACAAGTGAGTGGTGTTTTGCAAGATGAACAGCCTACAACGCAATAAAGTAAACAAACTGATTAAGCTGATCGTAACGGCTATTTTAGAAGAGGTGGATGAGGAAATTTGTGTGATTAATAAAAAGAAGCTATGGGTACGAAAATGGATCGAAAGACAAGATAAACTAGGAGCTACTAATTGTCTTCTGAAGGAATTAGCATTGGAAGATCCCAAAGAATACTTCGATAGTTTGAGAATGTCCGAAAGTTGTGTAAATTTTCTGTTAATGAATGTTATGGCGGCAACTAATGAACTCGACTAATTCGACAGGTTCGTACTTGTTTAGCCGGTGAACCAGTGAGCTCGGAAGCGTGGTGGGGGCTGCTACTCGCCCAAAAAAATAGAATAAAATGGATTGACTCGACTAAATTACTTACTAAACTAATCGACTAAATTTTTAGTGTTCAGACACGTTTAGTTACTAAATTACTCGCTACTAGACTAAAATACTAGCTCAATGCGAACTAGACTTAACGGTGAGTTTCTGAGCTATAATTTGCTGCTCACTACTGGACACTTTTTCAACCTGTTTCCCATATAAGTTAATTCTCCTTAGTTCTCCCTTCCATAATCTTTTCAGACTATTATTTTTGTAAGACAAGAATACTCATTTAGTAATTAGTTATGTTCAGAAGAAAGATTTTATGTAAATTTTATTGATCCATGCATGAGAAATACATGTGATATAGTTTTATGGTGGATTAACTAGTTAAGATTATCAACATCTTGTAAAGATTGTTATATTGTTAGTCATATAAAACAATTTACACTATTAGATTGTAATTTACAATGTTTTGATGAATAGTTTTAATAGCATAGTCATAAATGCATGTCCAGTTTTGTTTAAGAAATTACATATTTTTATCAAAATTAAAGGTAATTTTATATTACTATAAGTGTGGAATATCATGTTTTGTTCAAAAAAACAGATTAAATAGCAGTATTTTCATAATATTACTGCACTTTAGTTAGTAACAATCATGGAAGAAATGTCTAAAATGCAGTAATAACAGGATTTACTGCATTTAAAACAGTTTTTGAAAAGATTATACAAATAAAGTGTGTGTAGTAATAGGGGCAAAAAAATTAAAATTGCCATAATTATAGTTTTTTATAAAAAAACGAACGTAACAATGTTTAGTATTTTAGTTTGGTACATATTCTTTCACTTTCCATTCAAGGTTGTATCGAAAAGTCTCTTTTTGATATATTTTTATGGATTCTAAACTTTAAGCGCGTTTTTCTCGAATTTGTGTTTTTGCTGTTACTGCACTTTAGGTTCGGGAGGGCAGCATTGGTGACATTTCATACTTCATTTTAATAGCAAATAATATAAAGTGTGACACCAGACCGTCGAAATCAAAAATCTATGCGTGAAAAGTAGCAGGTGAAATCACGTGAAAAATTGTTGTAATTTCATCACGTGATAATGATTTAAAAGTAGCAATCATTTCCATGCTTAATAGCAACATAAGTGGATCAGGATAAGTTTGTGTATGTTCACAGATGGCGCTAATACTTTTTATTAGTTGTGTATCACGGTTATAAATTTTTAGTCACTGGTTTAGTTAAAAGGATGAATTTGGCAATATTTATCATACATTAGTTACACCTATATATCCAATTAAATAGCCGACATTTGGCAGAATAATGACATCTAGTATCTATTCGAACGAGCAAAAATGACCCAAATTAGTGCTGTCTCATTTCAAACTTCACTGTCTGGTATGGTGCATCCCGCATCTGTACAAGTAGTTAGTAGTCTGATGACATTCGTCCTAGTATATTTTTATGTAGTGTACCATTGTCTTGTGGTTACCATGAGACATGTTTCTGTCTCAGCTATATATTTTATTATAATATTTATTCTCTTCAAGTAAAATGGTTGCAACTTGTGGACATAACGAATTTATAATTAAATCCAATATTGACTAATAAAAGATATTAGTAACATGGACTGTTATTTTACAAAATATATATGTGAATAAATAAAGATTGTATTATAAATCATATTAAAATATTTGTTTATTACGATTTTTTTATATCTTACAAGTAGCGGCTCATCCTCTCTTCGCCGCTAGAAAAATAAAAACAAATGTTTCCAACGAAAACTATACATTTTTCCAAGTAAAAAAAAAGCCTATGTGCTATTCCAGACTAAAATTTATCTCTCTCAGATACGTTCAACCGTTCTGGCGTGATTGAATAACAAACATCCAAACATCTAAACTTTCACATTTATAATATTGTAAGATTAATGTTCTAAATTATTCTATTATTATATTTTACAAATGATATTATGAGTTACACAAATAAATTACTATAGTGAAGTTTTTAAATTTTTATTTTGTAATAGATACTTATCACGGTTTCTTTAATCTAAATGTTTCAAGCAATTATTAACAGCAGCTATAATAATTAATGTTCATCTTCATATCCGTTGGGCAGTGCATTGACATGAGGGTTGTGGAAAAGTGTTTTCTGGCCATCACCCCATGGGAAGCGCTGAAACAAGAAAATACAATATTTATATTACATAATAAAATATTTATTTAATACTAGCATTGCCCGCGGCTCCACCCGCATTCAGATGACAAAAACTTTTACATACTAGTAAAATCTTACATAGCAGTTTTTGTATTTTTTCTCAGAAATGAGATATGTTCCCACGGTAAAAAGTATCCTATATGTTGACCCGGATAACCAGCTATCACCATATCAAATTTTATCAAAATCCCTCCAGTGGTTTTTCTGTGATGCAGTAACAGACAGACAAAAATTCTAAAAAGTATATGTTCGGCCTCTGTATTGATAATAATGTTTATTTCAATAAGATTTTCCAAAAAATATTTAATGTACAGATTCGGCTTAGTTACGGTTTTATTATATGTATAGATAATATGATTTTTTTAAAAGAGATACCTAACATTTGTTTTTTTTTAATATAAATATATGATTTGACTCAGGGTCATTAATGAAATATTTAGTATGTAAAATTTTACTTCCTTTTATTCCTTCCTAACCTTAGCTTTTGTACAATTAAAAAAAAATAAAGAAACAAAATATTTTTGAATCATGATATATGTAAATTTCATGGTTATGCAACTTTTTATTGAAACACATTGACATATTGTTGGATCATAATTAGACGACTATCTAAGAAGTATTCTAAAGAAGAAACCCCTAATAAAGAAGTGTCTTTATAATAAATGACATAGTTAATGATTAATTATTTTAAGGAAATAATATTACTGAACTGGCCTAGTTTGAGCTCCTGTCTTTAACTTATATAGAGTAGCTATATAAGCTTATTTCATTCTATTATACATGTAGGAGAAATAATTTAAAAAAAACTTATAAACCCACAAGATATTAAGAAATAATTAAAATTATTCAACAATGAATATTATGTATTCTCAATAGTCCATAGGCAAAAATACATTAATGATATAGTGCACAATTGTACACACAGACACAAGTACATACTCTATTCTTTTCATTCTCACATTCTGGTGGAAGAAAAATTCGACATGACCAGTTTGCTTGCTTCAAGCACAGGGGTGCAAACACAGCCAACTTCGCAACTAAACTTTGCCCATCCTGGGACTCAAACCCAGGACCTCTGCATCTGCAGCCATACATGCTAGCCACTAGGCCACCGAAGCTGATATAGACATACGATAGGATTAGGTTCTATATATCTACTTATTCTTCAAATTTCATAATATGCCTAAAATACTGGATTTATTTACGTCATTATACCTGAATGCAAAAACTAAAAAAGCTTGAATATCTATATGTCAAACATATCATGTATATTGATTCAAATGTTTTGAGTTCTTATTTTTGATGCTAATTTTTAGACTAGATACCTGTGTCAACCACAGTAATTATAATTACTTGGGATTGATTGATTGATTGATTTGGGATGATCTAATTTAATTGCACTTAATATAAATGTTACTGTTTTGCTTACAATCTCTTAGAATATATTGAACAAGGTCAGTATAATATAGAAATTGAGTTTATTATCATAGGCTATTTTTAATAAAACTAAAGATTACCCCAATTACCTTTGTACGGATACGCAAATAATCGTAAGCTACGAATGGAGGGCGCTCATGATGTTCTTCTTGATGACCAAGGTATGCGTTCAACATACCCAAACCAACAGCTGGGAATCCTACGAAGAAAGACAGCTTTTTCCACAGTCTCCAGCCACCTGATAAAATAATTGAAGTAAAACAATAAGAGAAATGATAAGAATTCAATAGGTTATCCGATTACATAATTGATAAAACACTTCAACATAACTCACCTCCATGTCCTCCAGCTGTAGCTGAGTGAGAAGAAAGACGAGCGTGGTTTTTAACATATAAGTTTGCAGCTCTTTGCAAATATGAAGCCATTTTGCAGTCAGAAAATTTTAACACTGAAATCTGAATGTCCCTAAATTGTCAATGTTATCAAGTGTCAAAAATATTTAAAAATCGATTTCACAGACTATTGAATATGGAGACTACATTACAGATTAAAGAACTCGTAACTAGACTACATTTACTCTATGTCAAAAACGACATTCTTTCTTTTTTTATGTTTTGAATTCTTGGTAAAAAAACTAAATATATTTAATTGATATGACTAATTTAAAAATAATAATTCAATTTGTCGGTGTAAGAAATTAATATTAAATAATTTTTGGACACCGTGCGATAAACAATTCACACATCGATTTCTTTATTACGCTTTTTGTACGTTGGGACTTTAGGTACTATATAAATTCAAAAGGTTGGATGGATGGATGTTTGTTTGTTACTTAATCACGCCAGAACGGCTGAACAAATCTGGATGAAATCTTGGCACAGAGATAGATTATGAGGAAAATGTATTTTTTTCTATTGGTGTTTGTACAATTTTCAACTTTTTAGTTATTCTTTTTTTAGTAATTTGATCTTATTTAAAATGTTCACTCTGTAACATATTTCTGAATATCGAAGTGGCAAGCATAATATAAAATTTTATTATATATTTAAAATATGCCTACACAAAAGCCTAGCCTCTTTTGAAGAATTAATATAGATTTATAAACAGCAGCAAAAATCCCTAAGAAAAGATGTCATGAACGTAGCGTAAACAAGTTGAATAATCAACATTAGGTTACATAAACTCGATACAGGCATAATGTATCAGCCCCCCCAACGTTCGTTCACCTTGTCGTGGTGGGGGGGCTCAGTAGTGCCCGGCAACCCAACCGGGCGCCAAGCCAAGAAACGCACAGGGAGGTGGCCCACTTCGGTGGGCGGTGGGAGATGGCCCTCTTCGGAGGGCGGTACCATGGTACCGCATGGTACCATGCGGGTTGCTCCTGGTACTTCTCTGATAGCAGAGTGGACCTTGGAGCAACCCCGTGGTTGTTGTGGTCTGCTTTGGCAGACCTGCCGTTGGGGCGTCGTAGTTGAATGCGTAAACGATCCTGCGACGCCCCATTAAGACGGTGGAAGGCTTTGTTGGGTTTTAGTGGGTAGTACTGGCTTTGCCGGTGAGTCCCACACCTCGTGCGTAAATGCATTTCCCAACGTTAAAAAAAAGGCATAATCTATCAGACAATTTAAACTTGTGAGTTCTACATAATAACATAATATTACGTGCACGGTTCTGGCCTAAGTCAGTTTCTGAGTATTATTTTTCAACACTAGTTACACTTGCATTATGACTGTACTCCACTTTTCCTCACTTTTTCATATTTCTTCCCAATCTTTTCTTAGCTCTGAAATTTAACTGATCTCTTGACATATTATATGTAAATATATATTGGGACATTAACACACAATACCATCTAGTTCCTAGTAGCGGTAAGCTACGAGGGTTGTGTTATGGATATCAGATATTAATATACTACACACATAGATATAACTTTAAATACATACATATTATAAATATAAAAACCCATGACTGGAGTACAAACATTCGTGCTCATCACGTAAATGAATATCAACAGCGGGAATCTAACCCGCGACCGCCGGCAAGTAGGGTCACTACAAACTGAGCCATACGTGTCGTCGACATTGCCGTCTTTTATATGCATAAATAAATAACTTCTAGTATTCGAAATTTCGAATCTTTTCTAGTAATTTCGATTTCTTTTAGAACATGTTTTAAGTTTAAAATTGTTGTAAATTTAAAATTAACTGTTCTTGTCGTTAATTGTCATTGTCTTAGGATGTAAAAAACACACTTCAGGCGTGCCATCTTTAATTATTATTTTTGGTGTAATGAAACTATACACTCAGTAGTAGACAGTATTATACAAAAATAATACGTGTGAAAGCTGGTTTACAAAGAGGAAGTCGAATCTGCGACCAGTCACCAGCAAAAGACTAGATAAAGTAAGACATATTGCTTTTTGTAATTATTTTTTTATTATTATTATTCTATTATGCTTTTGAGATTTCCGACATTTAAATAAACATATTATGCGTTTTAGCTCTACAATGTCACCACAAACAGATCTTATAGGTATTTTAAAAGTAGAAGTATAGAAAGATGTATTAAAAATAATTATTAATTACTATTTACGCCTTTGTTAAATTATTCATATAATAATATAGCTGGTTGGTCAAATTCTGTAAATTGTTTATCATCCGTTGATACATCTTGTAGATCGGCGGAGTTACAATTACTAAAGTGCTTTTCTAAAATGGATTTAGGTGTCACCTGAAACAAAAAATATTCTATAACAAAAGTAATGTTTATCTTATATTTAACTTCCTACGAACATCACGTTGTATACTTATTATTATATTTATTTATTATTGTATTTTTTTCCTGAATTTCATTTCATCATTCACATTTTTCAACATAAAACATTCAAATTTGGCAGAAACCAGTCCGAAATTTAAACAGGGATTGCGAAAGTCTGTCTTTGAAAGGGGTTGCGGTCAAGGATAAGTATATATGTATTGTACCTTTTTAGCTTTTATATGTTCAAAATTAAATCCCATGTAAAATGCAGATTGTTGTAACTGCCGCAAATTTCGCATTCGAGCTTTAGGGTTTCTTTCTAATAACCGCATTAGTAGCGCTCGCGCGCCTTTTGACGACTTGCTTGCACTATCGGGTAACGAACCAGGAGTTGGATAAAAAGCTTGAGAATGTTGTTGATTCCTGCAAAAAAACATACATTAGCACAGAAATTAAGCACTATTTTATTATAAATTATTATATGATATACAAATCTCTTTTGAATTGGGAGCGACATGTATAGGTATTGTAATTTGTATTTACTACTAAGAAAATTCAAGTGTGTATAGGTTTTTGATATTTAAACTAAATAACTTTTGTTTAAAGTGTATATAATGAAATATTATATTACGTATTAATAGGAGTAATATCTGTGTCCATTCTAGAACTCGATGGATTTTCTGCTGTTTTACTAATTGTTGCCTGTACATTAACAGCAGGCGCCGAAAACTGTAAACAAATAAAAAATAATATTGTAAATAAAGAAACAATTATTTTAATCTATTTTTGCTTTTAAGAAATAATTTTGCAGGACGATGGTAGTAGGGGCATCAGATACCTACTACGATAAAATCGTAGGTAATCGCACTTCAGTAAACTGTTCCAGGAAATCGTGTACCTACCTGTATTATACTCGTATGTAGTTAAAGCAGTGAAAAAAGAAAATTTTAATCTATTTTTTTATAAAAAGTAGTAACCTGTAGTATTTGGAAATGTCATATGATGGTTTCCGAACATTATAATCTGTTCAATAGCAATTTCATCTGTACGGACACGTATACTTATTATACGTACGAACTATAATAAATACATTTTACATGCTAAAATGGCTTTTGTCAACGAAGTAAATAAATCATCTAAGTATAATGAAGAAAACATAGAGTTTATTTGAATTTAAAGTTTGCGCGTTTTGTCGTTTTTATATCATGTATTCGTTATTTTTTAATTAAATTTCGTCAATGTTAATCTCTAATGATTACAGTGCTGTCGCATACCTACCTATGTGTATAGACGGTGTGACTGGGAACTACACTGGCGTGCAAAAAAATCGGGCCACCCTTAATTTTAAGCATAATTTTTTGTTGACAAATGTTTGGTGAAAAAAAATACCGCAAAGGTAATTAAGGAGATTAGACGCCTTTGTTTCCTTCAAAAAAGTCATAAAATTTCTGGAAATGCACGTGTGCGCTTAATTATAGTCAATTAGCAGTAATTAGTGAATATTTGCATAATATGGATTGAAGCCACAAATACTGTTTTTTGTTATATTAGAAGCTTAGTCGAGTTCCAATTATTGAACAAGACACTTCTACTTTGATCTGCGATTATTAGAAATACTACAAGATGGATCTGACCGAGGCTGAATCATCTCGAATTGTGACTTTGCTTGAAACTGGACAAAGTCAATGTCAAGTGGCTCAAGCTTTTTCTGTGAGCCGTTCTACGGTCCAGAGAGTGTACAAACGTTACATAGAGGCTGGTGGCTTTGTACGACGACATGGTTCCGGCCGACGAAGCGCCACATCAGAGTATGATGATCGATTTATTGTGTCATCAGCTTTAAGAAATCGTCATCGCACAGGGGTTGACGTTCGAAATCTCCTGAGAGAAGTCAGAGGTGTTAATGTTAGCGAGTGGACAGTAAGGCGCCGACTTAGAGCCGCTTCCCTGACGCCACGCAAGTTCGCAACTGGCCCCAAACTCACCCCTGCACATCGAATTGCAAGATTACTTTTTGCCCGAGATCACGTGAATTGGAATTTGGAGCAGTGGAAGAAGGTTCTTATTACTGACGAAAGCAAATGTGTTTGCATGGTGCCGACGGCCGTAATTTTGTTTACCGGCGACCAGATGAAAGATATGCACCATGCACTATGCGGGAAACAGTATCATATGGAGGGGGCTCAAATATGTTTTGGGCAGGATTCTGTTACGAAGCGAAAACCGAGCTTATATTCATAGAAAATGGATCCCTTACAGCCGCTAGGTATATAACGGAGGTTTTAGAAGATCATGTGATGCCTTTTACTGGGTTCATTGGAGAAGATTTTCTGCTTCTACAAGATAATGCTCGCCCACACACTGCTACATCAGTAAGGCAGTATCTTCAAGAGGTCGGAGTGTCTACTATTGCCTGGCCAGCGCGAAGCCCTGACCTCAATCCGATAGAGCATGTATGGGACCATCTCAAAAGAAAAGTTAGAAGTCGCGTAGTAGTCCCGATCAACATTCAAGAATTAAAAAGCGCCTTATTGGAAGAATGGGAGTCTATTACACAAGATTATCTAAAAAAGTGTGTCAAATCTCTGAAAAACCGATTAAATGCTGTAATTAAGAATAGAGGCGGTAATACGCATTATTAAAAATCATAGAACCAATCGAAATCTTTTAATTTTTCCATTAATTTGCGGCTTACATTTTTATACCTAACTCGCGAAAAATTATTAAATTTGATTTTCCTCTATTTTCGAGCAATAATTTTTATTTAAATAATTCAACGATTATTGATTTAGGTACCTAGGGTATACAGCTACCCCATATATAATAACAAAATTAATAAAAAAATATCATATCTTAAGTTTGTCCATTTTCTCTAGGTGGCCCGATTTTTTTGCACGCCAGTGTATTTACATTAAAGTCTTTTTTTAGAGGGTCTCGCACCTCTGATATTTTCATGTGCGACTCATTTCCAACATGATTACCACTTGTCTTAACGGTGAAGAAAAACATCGTGAGGAAATCTGCATGTCTGACTGAACCTAGCAAGTTTTCAAAAGCCTTGTGAAGTTCGCCAACACGCACTTAGCCAGCGTGGTGGACTATCGCCTGATTCCCCTCGTACTGAAGAGAGGCCCGTGCCTAGCAGTGGAACGTTAAAAAGGGCTGAATACACAAGCCTTTTTAATTCAAAAAAGACAGTCTGTCTTGGGCTACCATGAAAAACGGTTTGTCTTAACAATAAAAGCCATATTTAATCATTAGTGACATATTTATATAAAATAACTAATGTAGTATACCTAAGTAGATATAATATTTAAATCAACTTACTCTGAAGTGCAAAGCCATGGGCACTAGCCTGTACGTGTACAAAATACGCATTACAGCAAGGTAATAAGAACGTAACTCGGCATAATCACCACTCACACTAACGAACAATTCCATTAATATACGATCAAGTGTTCCTTACAAGTATACACGGTGACTCCAGACTAGTTTTATATAATCAACCCTTCATAAATTATAAGCGTCGTATATTTACCTGCAGTTAAGGTCTTCCAATTAAATTGAACTTAGAGATTGTAAAAAATGTACAAGATTTACTGATAAATAGGTAATAACGTTCTAGTCGAGTTGCATTTTATTTTTATTCAGATGTTTACAAATTATTTTTAGAATTATAATTAATTATAAGTAAGAGTGAAATATCACTTCAACTAAAATTGTTTCTAATGCGTCGACTTATAAACTTGGAAATTGATAAAATGTGTAAAAAATGGTGAACTTGATCTATTTGGAAAGGATTTTACTGCAATTTAACTCTTTCATGAAGTTCAAGCATGTATGATGTTTCATTTTAATAATATGTCATCATACATGACAAAGAATCCCATTTAATATAGGTATTACAATGCTAAGTTATATGAGGTAGAGCAGTTAGGCAATTAAACGTCTAAAATGGTAAAAAAATAATATTAAAGTACGTATTTAAAGGCTACTTAGAATTGCCAAAAATCTTTTATAATGATTGTAATCCTATATTATACAAATTATATTAAAAAATGTAAGCAAAATTTATCTATGCGTACCGCTATATATATACACGCAAGTGAAATCCGTCTAATGAAATTTAGGTATATGGTATGGTAATTGTCTAACATATTATGGATAGCTAGAACAGATGAACAAAGATGTTTTGGGGAGTTTAAGAATGCTGGAAAATATTTAAGAATAATATATGGCTCACTAACTTGGGCAAGTGGAAAATAAAAAAAACATCTAAAGTTTAATTTGAGTGCAATGGACTCGTTAAAACTCCATAAAAAATAAACCATAATATGCGTAATACAATCCACAACTTTGGTGTGAATCTATATGAATGACAAGAGTAATTTAAAATGAACGCATAAAAAGTGTGGCGTCTAGGTTTATTCCTAAGTTATGTCTACGAAGGCCCGGTCACCGCAACCCGTCTGCCCGCCTTCTACAGAAAAAAAACAAACTTATCGGCTAAAAATAGGGAGCTAGCCCCTTAATTGCACACTTGGAATTTACAGCACGTTTTAACGATTGTGAGTACATCGAGATAAATGCACCTTAACGCGAGGGCGCGGTAATGGTTTGCAGATTGTGATGGTAGTTAGTATTACATATTAAAATATACCCATGAATATGTTACGAGAAGGTAAAAGTAACCACCTCACGTACGCCCCTCATCTATCCATAGTGAATTTTAACACAAAAGTATTTAAATTTAGCGCAACTTCAATGTGTCCGACGATTATATGTCGGTTGGTATATGAGGTTATTGAAGGAATCGCAAATGTGATGCGTTTTTGCATCTCATCAGCGAATTTTAGACGGTCGGGATAATAAAAAGGAAAATTTATGTGTACGTTGATTTGTTGAGCACCTACGTAATGTATTTTTATTGCCGACGACATAAGTAATGGTACATAGTCCCCAGCTGCCGCCGACCTATAGATAAATTAAAAAGTGGTGTACCGTTAGCATTAGCGCTGTGACTACTAATCAACTGTTATCTTTGTCAGAATGACCACGGCAAAATAAATGTTTACACTTTGATCTAGTCACGATTCGGTCGCATTTGTGAATTAGAATTAAATTTTGCTTGCGTACTTGCCTATTCAATTACTTTTGCTACCTGTTAATCTAATGCCTTATATTATGGTGAATGACAGGGTATACAATTACATATATCTAAATAAATAACGAGAACGGTTCGACCAATTCAGCTATAATTTTTTCGTATGTTCCTTAAAGGTACACGGAAAGTTTTAACGAAAAGTTTTAACAAGAACGGCTGGAACAATTTTTATGACATTTGATTTTTTGGATTTCTCTTGGTCCGGAATAGGATAATAAGTATTTAAACATCAGAAAAAATAACGAAAAACAAATTAAAATTTATATAGCTAACGCTGGCTAATAACTATTTATGTCTATTTAAAACGTACCTTCGTCGACGACGTACGTACGATCGTAGCGAGGGTGAGGCGCTATTTATATTATTTTAAATACATATACGACAAAAACATGATAAGATAATTAATTTCGACAATAAATAGATACCATAAGTATCTGCCTGTCGTATTAAGGAAAAATACAATAAAAGCATTTTTTTTAAATAAAAAAAGCAGTGCTTACGTAATTACATTTACATAGGTTGTATTTTAATTATTGATCTGAAGGTAAATAATAAGCTATACATCTTCTAGATAATTGCACCGATATTATTTTTAGCAAGGTTAGGTACACAAAAAAAACATATAAACGCTAATTCTATTATAAAGTCCTATCGTGATTCTTAAAAGGTCATTTCGTTTTATAGCTAAATATTAACGAGAAAATATTTTAAACTTTAGTATAACCAATTAGGTACGAATAGTTATCATAAATTTAATTTTGATATACCTAACTATTATAAAACCGTAAAACGCCAGTTTAAATTCTATTTAAGATATTTTCTTATTCAAATAAAATGTAGTAAAAACAAACAGTCGAATTTTTAAAATAATTAAAAGATAGCCAACTGAGTTTTTTCGATGGTCTAACATTTTAACAGAAATAGGCTTGATATTTTGTTAGGCTAATGAAAATTTTAAGATGTAGCAACTAAAGTGATTAGAAAAATATAAACAAATCATTAATAAAACAGTTTTATTTCGATATAGGTAATTAATATGGAAAATTTCTCATATTAGTCTCGCCATCTAAGTCAAGGCATTTGATGCAACATATTTTGGACCTTGATAATGGCTTACTTGTCATTGTCAGATACCATCTAACATATGAATGTTAACTAAGTTTATGTAGACATAAAAAAGGTCAGAATTAAGGAAGGTTTTCTGGTTTTGTTTGTTTAGTAAAAATATTAATTAAATAATGTACTAAATTAAAAATAAACTCACTTCTGCTTATCACATAATGATAAACCTGTACGAAATACAATAAATATTTGTTTTATTTGCTAAATATTATCAGAATTTATAATTTGAAATGTTTATTAACTAAGTTCGTCATCTACCTACTTGTGGCTGCGCTCATGCAAGTTTAAATCCGTCCAAAAGGCAATTGATTTTTATACTCAAAAATATTTAAAAAAAGTAAAATATTAAAGAGGTAATAAACATACGAGTTATAGGTAATATCGCGGTTTTAAAGTTCGCAGTCTTTCCCAGCTTGACGTCAACGACACAGAACAGCAGCAGGAATCGCTATTTATATATAGCATAACTGTTTGCGATGTCGTCCAGAGCCTTGCCGATAGCCAGATTATTTAAAGAACAAATTTTTATCCTCACGATAGAACCATTTTGTTTCACCTTACGTATAATTTTTATCATTTATTTCATCATTATGTTATTAAAATACTCTCTTCTTACAAATTACCTGCTTATTACGTCTACACTAAAAATGGAAAATAAAAACCGACTTCCAGGCACCAAAATGCAAAAAATAACTAAGACGGAATTTTCATTTAGAATAGATATCTTATCAGATACTTTCGAAGTCGGTGCCAGCCAGTATTTTTTCATTTTAGTGCCTGGAGGTCGGTTTTTATTTTTTCTTATTGTCTGTAGAGTCATTAGTTTTAATTTGATAAAAATAAATCCTAAATATACGATAAAAATCACGCAAATTTACCTACAAGCCACTCATTTTGAACAAAATAAAAAACTCACAAAGGAAGTAAAACATACTCAAGATATGTAACGAAGCGACCGCTGGCGGTACTGATTTTATGAACAAAATTTCAAAATTCAAATAGCGGATTGCCAATGTACTTATTTGGACGTTCTATAGTTCGCGCATTTAGATATATAGGACGGTACGAATGAAAAGAACGAGCCATAAGTTCGCATGTACTTCCTTACTTTAAAGTTCTATGAGAACTCCACGAGTCTAAAGTTTTGCAAAAAAGCTTTGCAATGCAAATATAAATTAAATAAATTAGAATAGGCACCTACTCGCCATGTACTTTTGTTGTTGTTTTTTCCTTGTGGTTGTTTTTTCTACTGATAATCTGACAAAAAAGTGACTCGGGGGACTTTTGTAAGAATTGTAAATAAGTTATTATGCTAAATGATGTATCATTTTAAGCGAAAAAAGCTCTCCTCTTGATATCTTAAAAGTTTTTGGTTGTTTAGAAAAAAGTGGATTAGTTAATTTGAAAAAAGGTTTTTATAATGATAACGGAAAGAACTTGTTAGATATCTTTATCAAAGTCGTAAAGCAGCAGCAGATGCAGCTTGTGAATGACAAATTATTTTATATTTATCATTTTAATGGGAATTAAACTGGAATGTGCAATGGCAGACTAGCAATTCTCTTATGGCCTAAGGGCCTGTGAACGCCAGACCTTCGTCATTTTAGAAAAGCTGAAAGTTTGTCAGCGCATGCTCCCAACACAGATAAGAACGATGGACCATTATGAAGTTCAGGCTATGGTGGCCTTGGCAGGTACACGGTACTAAAGGTGTGTAAAATACCGATCTTAATTCGTCAAATAATAAAGTCTGATTTTTTGGTATTACCTTCAGAATATTATTAAAAATCATCATTCAATGCCAGACACTTAACATCGTGGCAAACCCTTGCCAGACACCCTTTTCATGAAATCATAATTCTATTTACGTTATAGTATAAAAGCTGATTTTTATATATAATACTTGGGTAATAATTAGATGATTTATAAGACTGCTAGCATAGCATTTATTACACACCATCAAAAATAAAGTCAATTCTTAGAGCTCAAATTTGGTGACCATTTGCAATATTTTCTTAGAAATGCCTTGAAAATATGTAATAGGTATATTATGTGCATATACATATCTCCACTGAAAGATGCATGAACGAGTTGTGGCTAATTCGTTCATGGAAAGATGTTGTTTATTCTTATTAACAATTGGTAAATGCAAAGG